GATTTGTCATTTGTGGGAGGAAGAGGGAAAAACAGATGAGTGGATGGAATAAATGCCGAGTCAGATCAGACTTCAGAGTGCTCCAGAAGGTGCCTTTAAGTAGAGTTATGGGCTTTAGGGTTTTTTATGCTTTTGACTTAATTATTCTTGCAGGCTTTTGTAATAAATGGGGGAAATACTGAATAGGAGAAAACTCTGTGGGATGTTGACTCCTTCAATTAGGTCACATCTTCCTCACATTTCCCATCTCTCACCTCTCTCTTCGGTTTGGTACAACTCTCTCTTCCATAACTACATTCACTATTATTAAAAGCATATATAGCTACTCATGATAGTATTCAATGTAACACCTAGAGTACCATTTACTACAACTTGTGACGAATCCATCAACAAATGAAATTATTGTTACAAGACATTCTCATTTCAAGACGAAAGAAAGATAATTAAACATTAGCTTATGGAGAAGTAACATTCGTGTTTTGTTAATTAGTGTAAGTTATTTGGAACATTAACCTAATGTATGAATTTTAATTCCATCCAGGATAGGATGCTCATTCTTGAAATACGGCTGATATACAAAAAATTGATAAATGATTTGATTCATATATGGTGTGTGTTTATATATATATATATATATATATATATATATATATATGTAACTTTTCTCAACCACTAACTTGATCATACTGTCCATGAAGCCTTCCATTTTTAGTTTCATGCAACTAACACAATGTCATAATAAAGATGACTTGCTTTGCTTTGATCATATCATTTGGGCAAATCTTCCAATGATGCCAAGGATTGACCAAGGATGACTCAAACTGTGGTAAAGTGAACTAACATATTATAATGCAAACACTGTTAACCTTATCCATCCATGGTTTCTGAGAAGCAACACATATATTGGAATTGGAAGGTCTGGCTGGCCACTATATCTGCCACATGTATGCTTGGGATTATGGGGAAGATAGTTGAGAAAGATGCAAGTTTTGAGAAGATTGATGTCACTTTAGGGTGCATTGTCTGTCTTACTGTTTGGGGACAAAGAAACCAGATTTCCTGTTAAACTCATCTCCCACCTTCGTATGATGATAATTTCAGTGTAAAATATAGTATAATATAAGATTCTACTAAGTGAGAATTTTCTTTTCAGCACACCTTTTTTTTTGTGTGTGTGTGTGTATCCATCGGGTAAATGTTCAAAGCAAAAACAGGTAATACTCTATAACTAGTATTAGGGTTTTCAAACTTGATTTCTGATGTCGTATTCGTCGATAAATGACACCGTTTACATTAATAACGTACAATTCAACCCAAAAAAATTGAGACAGAAGAATTCATTTCGTTGAAAGATCTTTCATATGAATAATTTGAAGAAGTAGAGCAGAATGTGCTTAAACAGAAACACCCACCATCTTATTCTCTATGGCTCATATTTGTTTTTATATCATTATTACCCTTTTCAGCTTTTGAGCATTTGTATGGTACGTGGACTCTTAAGGACGATCGTCTTTCCCGGATCTTGATTTTCTCATCATCATTGCACTGGAAAGCCAGCACCAAAGCAATCAATGCATTCACGTTAAAATTTTGTAGAAAAACAATCAAAGCCAAACAAACATGATCAAGTTGATTGATTATGTCATTTGGGTCGAACTTCATATGTAGTTTCTTTCTTACTCTCTATGCCCATAATAATTGTCCGTAATCATTTTCGGACGGAAAAAATATTAGTTAATATGTAGTCCTTGAAGTAGCTTGCATAAATATTTGTGGAGAATTTTACGAATAGTAATGCATGAGATTATACTCCGTCTGTCTCAAAATGATTGTCTACATTAAATTTTTATTTTTAGTATAATTTATATTAAAAGTAAAATTTTGAACTGAATAATTATTTTTTGACGAAGGAGTATGTTTCAAATTGAACAAGTTGTATATTTCTCACACGAGATATGAAATGCCCTTCAATCCCAAGGGCATTCGGAAATACTATACATGCAAGAACTTCTTAAGGAGAATTCCTTCAAGTCATCAAGCAACTTGTTCCCTTCAAATGCGGGCCGAATTTTATTAAAAATAAAATTTCAACCTGATAATTATTTTAGAACGGAAAGAGTAATTATGCTTATGGCCTATAGAATAATGTGGCAAAGTTCCAATTAAGTGATAAGTGTCAAAGGGATCGAGATATATTAAATCAACTTTTTTTTTAATATAGGGGAAAAAGAGGATCAATACTGCTCAATGATAACATTCAAACTCGTGACCAACAGTGCATTTCCAAAAAATAAACCCTTTAATTTACACAAAGGTTTAAATGGGGGAATATTGAATTTGAGAAAAATGTCAAAAGGGCGTTACTGTTATTTTAAGAGTGGTCCAACCCGGAGAATTCATAAATGGGGTGGGCTCAGATGTCATATATAAGGCTCTGGGTTTTAATGTGGCCCAGAGTAATAAGAGCATTTGTAATAAGAATTAAGACTCTGCTATTGGCGGCTGGAATTTCGCTGCTTCCTCTTAAATATTTTTAACTACTATGTTTTCATTTTCCCGCTTTACGTCAACCGCCCATAATAATTAATCATTCGATAAAATGTAAATATCTCGATAAAAATATGTACGGGTCTCTCATACACAACTGATATCTTAAGAAAGCTTAAACACTTTCCACAATTTTATTTTTTTTATTTTTTGTTACATCTCTTATAATTAGAACCAACAAAATTTCACTAGTTTTCGTAGTTTTGAGTGATTTTTTAGAGTCCTGTATTATGTGTTTGTTATTATTTTAATTACAGGGAGTAATTTTATTTTAATGCTAAGCTAGAAAACACAAAGAAGCGGCAATTGTTGTACGCTGAGGCATATGACTCATAGAAACAAATTTACCGCAAACTATCTTGTGTCACTGGTTGAGCTGTTGATTTAATACTAGACTATTACTCCCTCTGTCCCAAAATTATTGTCTAATTTGATATTTCACTTAAACTGGACAATAATTATGGGATGGAAGGGGTATTATTTAATTCATCCACTGAGAGTTTAATTATGGTTTGAACATGATATTATTAGCATATTTTCAAAATGTATATATTTTGTAAAAAAATAAAATTACTAGATCAATATTACGGTAATATATTCCTACATGTAATAATGCACCTAGTTATAGGCTTGGCTCTCATTTCTATAAAAGAAAAGAACGGAGAAACGCAAAAAGTACCCTTAAGATTTTAATAGAAGGAAAAAGAAAAAACCAACAAACAGAATGCTAATATATTTAAGGTTTTAGTTGTCTTGTCGCCCGGCTTTTGAAACTAGTCGCTCGCGGAGACTTTGAAAGGCCTAATTTTTATTTATTAGAATATAGTCTTGGAATTTCGAATTAAATAGTTCTACATATGGAAGCCAACCACAGTGTTTCGCATCACATTCCAATAGATAGCTGGAAATGATTTTGTGACCTAATTTTTTTTTTTAAATAATAATGAAGAAAATACATGACAAAATGTGAAGAGATTTTGTGCAAACCTGAATTCTAGAAATATGTGATAATATATACTAAGTACCCAGCTCTAAAATAATTGTCTTTATTTTCATTTTATTATTATTTGTACACATCCAAAAAATTAGACCATTATTTTGAAAAAGAATGAGTATAAATTGTCCAAGTCCTTACTTACTAGTTACTAATTCATAAGATGCGGAAAATATTTTCCAAAAAAAAAAAAAAAAGATGCGGGTAAAAAACAAAAGAAAGACGAAAGATGAGAAATCCAAAAACACGGCTGGAAAGGCAAACTAGGGGAGTCCTTAACACCATGAAAAGGTTTTATACAAATTCACAAGCGAGCAAAATTGCACAATTACTTCCAACAAAATGTGTAGCATTCCTCCTAAACGAACGATCTCCACCGTATTGAATCGATATATTTTGAAATATTTCATAGTCTTATACGTTTTAATTAGAAATAATATTGATCATTACCGAAATTGAATATTATAATGTGAAATTACTAGTGACTCATCTCCTCCTCCTCCCATTATTGCTGCTGGTGGTTGATATAATTTGACAAAATTTAAAGTTATAAAACCATTTAGTATCAATTTGTAATCAATGGCGAAGAGAAAGTGGCCAACCTTGTGACAGGCTGGTTGTCGATTATCATCCTAAACTCCAAGTTCTTCTTAAATAAAATTGAATGGGTAAAAATTTTCGTTAATGTTAAAAATGATCAAAAAGTTGTTTTCACTTGTAATTTTATTTTGACATTATGAATTTTCCTAATTATACATTCTCGTCATATTTTAACAATCAATTAAAAATATTTGTAAACTCTTTTATAATGTTTTCTAACTTTTTTCCCACCTTCATATACTTATCACGGATGAACCTGGACTTAGAGCTAAACACTAATAGTTTAACTTAGTAATGTGCATAAACTCATATTTATTCATTACGCCAAATCCAGCTATTATTGTATCGATGAGTACAAATTGGTATAAATTTGATAAAAAAAAAAAGGGAGAAATTATTTGGACAGACAAACGTATAAAAACAGGCATGTCGATCTCATTTGTTTTTAATACCATGAAAATTATGCAAGGCAGAACTTAGAGCTTAAAAAATTCTTTACTAATTTATTTTAATCACATGACCAAAAAAAAATTTTTAATCAAAAAAATATATTTACATAATTACTGTCTTAAAATAGTAAATCAGGTGAAAAATGTATTTGATGGCACTCGTGGCAGAATTACGTAAACAAAGCAAAATCAAGAAGCGCGCTGTAGAGTCCAAAATAACTAACTTTTGAAATCATCTCCAAACCTTTCAATAGTTTCTCAATATTTTTCGCTCCTGAAAACGGTCATGCTCCCCTGAACACTCACTCTCATCCACTAATTGAGTTTCTCGCCGGAATTCCGATTTTCCGATCAGAAAACCGGTTGTCACATCGCCCCCCCGGTTCCTGGAGATCGTTGGAGTAACAACAATGGAGAACAAAAATGGCACAAACTGGTTGGTGTCGGTCCCCGGAGGAATCAGCCATTTATGCCACGAGATGCATCCGGCCCACCCTTTTGGTATCGGAGTTTTCTATGGAGATGACCCTTTCAGATACTCTATTCCCATTATGTTATTGGAGATCTCTATGTTGATTGTGATTATTCGCATTCTTCGATTTGTTCTCAAGCCACTCCGACAACCCAGAATCGTTTCTGAGATTCTTGTGAGTTTCTCTTTGTTCAGTCACGCATTTATTCAAACACGGCTAGGTTCACTTTTGTGCTTTGTTTGACATGTTTAGGATCCCCTCTCTGACATGATTTGAATTAGCTGATTTTCATTTGCTTTTTTTTTTTTTTTCTTTCTTTCTTGAAAAGGGTGGAATTATAATGGGGCCTTCTGTTTTAGCCAGAAGCAAGAAGTTCCGATCATATATGTTCCCACAAAGTTCTGATTTTGTATTGAAGAATCTTGCAGTTATGGGGTTCATGTATTTTCTGTTTATATCTGGAGTTAGGACGGACATGACTATAGCAACAAGGGCCAGAAAAAAGCATTGGGTCATTGCACTGGTTAGTGTTTTTGTTCCAATAATATGCACAGCAGCCTTAGCGATCCCTCTTCGGAAATCCCTGGGGAAAGAACTTGCTAAAGCTTCATCTATTCTGGGTACTTCCACTCTGTTTGCTATGTCCGCGTTTCCTGTCCTTCAGCTTATAATCAAAGAGTTCAACCTATTGAGCTCCGAAATTGGACGTTTGGCCATGTTAATAGCCGTGATCAGTGACGTTGTAGGAATAAATTTTGTAGTTGTGTTTGAGGCAGCAAAACAAGAAGAAGGGAAAAGTTCAGCTGCTATATGGTATGTCATTTCCTTGGTCGCAGTTATGGCGTTGATATTTGGCGGGCTACATTTAGCCATGCTCTGGATCATTAAAACAACACCGGTAGGAAAACAGGTGGATCAAATTTATGTGATTGCCATATTGCTCGGCGTTTTGGTCGTGGGATTTGTCACGGATATGCTCGGCATAGCCATAGCGAATGGACCTCTCTGGCTTGGATTGGCTGTCCCTGATGGCCCTCCACTGGGAGCAATTTTGTTGGAGAAGAGTGAGATGATAGTCATGGAGCTTTTCATGGCATTTGCTTTCACGTATGTTGGATTGCTAACTGATGTTTCATCAATGAGTGCCGAATGGGCGGGTCTGCAGCCGATTTTCCTCATGGCCGTGGTAGGGTTCTTAACCAAAGTTATTGCGACTATGTTGGCTTCACGTTTCTTTGGTATTTCGTGGAAGGAGAGTTTAGCTCTTGGTCTTATACTTAATCTAAGAGGTCAAGTGGAACTCTTGTTGTTCATCCACTGGATGGACTTTAAGGTACAATTCTGAATCCGTTGTATCATAATAACCCTTGGAATCCTGTTTGCTTTTCTCCAAATTTGTAGTATCATAACCCTTTGGAGTCCTGTTGCAGATGATCACAATTCCATATTTTACAATGCTGGTGCTGATGACAACCGTGGTGACTGCTGTTGCAACGCCATTGTTCAGCATACTGTATGACCCAACGAAGCCTTACAGAGTAAACAAGCGAAGAGATATCCAACACAACCCCCTGAATTCAGAACTCCGCATTGTGGTGAGCATTTTTGATGAAGAAAGCGTGACTGGAATTATTAATCTGCTTGACATATGCAACCCCACAAGAAGTAGTCCATTCGGCATCTATGCTTTGGAGCTCACTGAACTGATTGCTCGTGCTACACCAATTTTCATAGATCACGAAAAAGAAGGGGCCGACACTCAGCTCCCAATGCAAAGTCCAATCCATAGAGCATTTATGCTTTTTCAGGAGTCTAGATCTGATGAAGTTAAGATGTATCATTACACATCAAAAACTGCCAAGAGAAGCATGTACCAGGACATTTGTGAGCTTGCTTTGATTAAAAAAGCTTCTTTTATTATCCTGCCTTATCATGACGAGCAAGAAGATCATGCATCTGAGCTGGAGGGATTGCTACTGCCGAAAAAAGCGCAATCGGTACAGTCTGATGTTTTATCACATGCCCCTTGCTCAGTTGGAGTTTTTGTACATAGGGGGTCTTCTTCCAACAATTTTGTCAATGATCAGGGGATGAACTCTGCATATCACTTTGCTGTTATTTTCTTGGGTGGAGCTGATTCTAGGGAAGCTCTTACTTTTGCAGAGAGGACTACTAGAAATCCTTTCGTGTTCCTTACTGTCGTTCGGTTTCTTTCACAAGGTGATGCAGGAGATGATAGGATGGAAAAGAAGCTAGATGATGGAGTAGTAACGTCGTTTTGGGTGAAGCATGAGGGGAACAATCAAATCAATTACCGGGAGGTAGTTGTAAGAAATGGGGAAGAAACTGTTGCTGCTATTCAGTCAATGAGCAACAGCAACATTGATCTGTGGATTGTAGGAAGGAAGCATGGAATTAATCCCTATTTACTACAAGGTTTATCTGAGTGGAGTAAGCACGACGAACTAGGAGTTCTAGGAGAGTATCTTGCTTCCTCGAATTTAGGTGGCAGAGCCTCTATTTTAGTAGTTCAGCAGCAACTTTTGAGAGGCTAGTAAAAGGCTTCCAATGATCTACAATGACAAGTTCTCTTTGTACATATGTTAATGTCCCAATGTAGTTTGTCTGCACCAATTAATTATCAGATACACATTTTGCAGCTAGAGGCTGTCGTGTTTTTCTGGCAGTAACTCTGTAAACAGAATTTTTCTGTGCAAAAGAAAACTTTACAGAACAAGCAGGCATTTTGTCTAAGCCTTATGAAGAAAATTTAAGCATTCAAATTCAGAAGCAAAACCAAAAATGATGCCTAATTTCTGCATGGTGTATTGAACTGGTACAACCAATATTATACATGGACTAAAGAGAAAGCGTTCATGTAATTAACATTGAGGTAAATCTAGTGGCGGTCTTCCTACTGACTGCAGCCGCCCAGGACCGTTCTCAACCAGGAAAGACATAGCCAAGCCCCAAGTCAGATGAGCATCTATGTGGCAGTGCATCAGCCATACTCCTGCAAGGATTATCAACAAAAATTATTGCCATAAAGAAGCACTAAAAATTTCACATTTCATATGCATAGTTGACCAGAATTTACCAGGATTGTCAGCGATAAACCGGATTGCAGCCCACCCGCCAACAGGCACACCAACAGTGTTCCTTTCTGGCGGATCTACCAGATTGAAATTTGCAGTATCTGTATTTGGATCAAAGTTCCCAAAACCCTGTCCAACAACATAGAACTGGTAGCCATGAAGATGAATGGGATGATCCTCGGTTGAGAATATTCCGGTATCCTGCAACACAATCTGGACATTGGCTCCAAATTTCAGCTTGTACAACTTAGTCCCAACTATCGGCTGCCAAAGGGCACGAGGAACATTGCCGGTGTAGTCAAACTGCAACTGCGGAGCTGGAGGAAAATCGATGGTGTAGACACCAGGAATGTTCTGGTAATAAGCTTGTAGCAAGGATGATCTTGTAGGCAGAACAAATGACACATTGTTCATACTGGAAGCAAATCGAGTACCATTAGGCCCCTGACAAGTAGGGCCAGGAATGCAATTGAAAAATCCTAACCCTACTGTTATGAACAAATCCTCATCAATCTCAGTGGGAACTTTGATATCCGATGAAGAAAGGCACCTTAACTGACTTGTGAAAGCAGTGACCGTCGCTGTATCATTATAGGCCGGTAATTGGGGCAAGCTCGGCCTCAGAAAGGATCCCGTGTTGGAATCGCAGGGAATAGAATTGTATTCCAAGATCGCAGTCGTGGTTGTATTATCAAAGGGCGCACCTTGAGCGGTAGCATAGGCGCGCGCAGCCATGTAATAGCGCGCTGGAGTCTGATCAGCAGTGATAAGAACATTTGTTGTTTGCCCTGGTCCAACCATGATGGCTTGCGTTTGGAAAGGCTTGTAGTAAGCAGCATCAGCTCCAACAACAGTTAACATGTGATTTGAAACACCAAAGAAAAGTTGCTGATTTAATGCAGCATTGATCACTCTTAGAAGAATTGTGTCACCAGCATCCACATAGAACGTCGCAGTATCTGAAACCATAGCGCGGTTTTACTGTTACTTAGCTCAATCCGTCCAATAATAATAGTCGTGTTTCTAAACTAAAAACAGAACAAACCTAAGCTGGAGCATCTGTAAAGATCTCCAGGTTGGCCATTTATGGTATATGCATCGGATACATTTGGAGCAGCTCCACTAAATAGTGCCTGTCGCATGATCCCGAGAATGTCATTGTCCCACCATTCCCCTGTTTACATCCATGTTTTTTCAGTATTGTCAAACATTAAAACTATTCAGCTTGCAAAGGAAGGATATGTAATAAAATCAAGGTATGATAATTTAGTTAGTTACCGAGGAGCACGGCGAATTCTTTGTCGGGTTTTTCAAAAGGGTAAGGAACACCAAGTTTAGGGTAGATGATGAATGCGCCGTAGACGGTGGCTCTGATCCATCGGCTGTGAGCGTGCCACCACAGCGTGCCATCCTGATCTTGAATGGAGAAGCGGTAAGTGTAAGATGAACCTGGTTGAATTGGACATTGGGTAACATATTCAGGGCCATCTGCCCATTGTGTTCCTTTCTGTTTGATTCCATGCCTGTGATTTTTTTTAGATTTAAAATAGTCAACATTTCAAATATTCACTTAATTAAATGTCAAGGAATTACATAGATTCTCCTGTGTCAAAACAGAACCCTGATGAGTGATGGACAGTCCTCTGTCAAACAAGCAATTGGTTGGAAATCTTTAAGTGTTTGAATAACTTTTCACCTAAGATAAGATCAAAGATTAATATTCTGCTATTACGTGTTTATCGCATGTTAAAGTCACAGTTTAATTTGCTTGTGTAAATCCCAAGAGGTTACTTGTTTAGTTAGCCCTTCCCGGTCCTCAATTTCAAGTAGGTAGGAAATTTGAGGTGAATCGAATACTCGAAGTTTCTATATACAGAAGATTCAATGCCATATTATTGTTTGTTCTAATTTACTCAAAAAACACAGCGATCATAGAATTAGTAGCTTTAATTAGTATTTTCATTAATTAAAGTATCAAAATGCTTTGATCTGGCATAAGAAGATCAAAGGCCATCCTCTTACCGATTACTCACACCGGTCTTTCTTATAAATCACAAATTTGAACGAAGTAATGTGAAAAACAATGTTGATAAAGTGATCAGTTTAGAACTTCTGTAAGTAGCACTGGAACAGATTATACGAGATTTAAGGTTATCTTGAAGTTCAAATCTTGAACAAACATATGAAACAAAAGAAACCAAATTAATAAGGTCGCAATTCAATGGCACACAGTAGTTTTGTTACGTAGTTTGCTTACCAATGTATGGAGATGTTGTAAAGAGACTTGTTAATGACTTTGATGTTGACAGAATCTCCATCTCTGACTTGTATAGTCGGCCCCGGGAATTGGCCGTTAACTGTTAGTATGCTACGACTTCTGCAGAGTCTCTTTATCGGGGTAGCTTGAACCTGTCAATTTTTTGCCATTCGAATACCAGAGTTTCATGAATACTAAAATTAATCATGCATGAAAAGATGATTAACTACAAAGAGAGATGCAACTGAGAAATGTACGCTCGAACGTATTCACGATCGAATGGAAATCAAAGAATTTCATAACAAAGTAACGTACCACGAATTCATGATTATTATAAATGTCTGCGGCATTCGCAGCCGAGGATATGAATAGAAGAAGGAGAGGTAACAAAAACATGACCAAGAATATCGTAGACATGAAGTTGCCTGAATGGAACGGATGTACCAGAAAGTTATATATTTGTGGAGCTTATAAGATTTGGAGAAGGAAGTGAATGAAGTTATAAAAAGGCAGGATTTGGTGAAAAGGAGAAACTGTGCATGCGAAATTTGGATGACAAATTAGGAAAGGGACAAGATGGACGTTATGACAATTTTGGAGATATCGTTCTCTCCTTCTTTTTAACACAAACCAAATTATTTGGTGACCCACTGCCCCTTTCTTGATTTCAATAAACAAGACATTTTAATCGTGCAATCCTTTTTTTACTTCTTTTCCAAACAAAAGAAATTACTGCATCCTCCGAATCCATAGTTTTCCGAAATTAACCATCCAATTTTGATCGAAGTTAGGTAATTGATCATGGAATGATGTAACTAAGGGGTGTAACGGAACCATCTCAAATAAATTTTTATTCCTTTTTCAGGATCGTTATTAAGTTTTAAACCTTCTCATAAGAGCAGTCCCGCCCCCCAAAACAAACACGCGCGCGCGCGCGACTTACCAATTGAGTGACCTAAAGCAGGCTAACAGCTATAACGTTGATCTTGATGCAAATAGTACCATTGCTATAATCAGTACAACAAGGATATTTTTGCTGTAATATATATGGATATAAGCCAGGAAAAAAAAATGTAGTGATGCAATTTGTGAAAATTTTCGAGCCCCATACTGATGCATCTTATTATAAAAATTGATACTATATTGAAAAGAGACGCTGCTAACTTGCTTCTGTTATTTATATTACTCTATTTTTCTTTTCTTTTTTTGGGGTATGAAAAGTGAACCTTGAAACTTCCTAATTATACAACAATCTTATCGCTTCTCACATAACTTAGATCATAACCTTTTTTATTTTACCTCAAGCCCCCCAAATATATATATATATATATAGAGAGAGAGAGAGAGAGAGAGAGAGAGAGAGATAATTATTGCAGGACAATCAATTTTTTTTTTTGTGATATACGAATTTATCTGAAGACAACATTCTTTTATTTATTTATTTATTTTTAGCATGAAAAAAAATTTCTCTAAAAATTAATTAATCCTGTAGTTTTTTATTGAGAAAAGTGTCGTTTTAGTCGTCGATTTAGTTGAAATACTTGTTCTACTTGTCGAGTTCATCCAAAAGTATAAATCTTGTCATCGATTTAGTCCTTTGGATGAAAAAAATCCTTCAAACTAGTTGAAATTGGCCCCAAAAATATAAAAAATTTTAAAATTGCCCCTTACGGCATAAAAAATTACAAAAGAATTATTTTACTTGTTTTATTTTCGCTCTTTTTTAAAAAAAAAAAAATTTGGTATGTACAAAAATAATATCCCGCAATTTATTTATTTTCATCTAAATATTCTTTTGATAAAAATTATTTTTACGTTTTATTTTCATCTAAGACTACTATACATGAATATAAACTCAAGACTTATCAAAATCCACGACAGACATAAAAGTGATAGGGTTCTCCACCGGAAGTAGTTTAATATGAAAATAATCGATTGATTAGACAATCATGATCTTGCATATGAGCCACGATTGGATTCACCTGGAATCTCTTTATTAATTTGAGCCACGGTTGGATTCAAATCCTAAATCTCGCGGCTAACCCTGAAATTTCGCGTATGAGCCACGATTGGATTCACTTGGAATCTCTTTATTACTTTGAGCCACGATTGGATTCAAACCCTAAATCTCGCGGCTAACCCTAAAATCTTGCGTTTAGAAATTCGTGCTGATAATATATTATAAAATTAATGTAAATGATTGCAGAAAGATAACATAGGAGAGAACAGAGAGATAATGGATCTATTGGTCTGTCTATTGATCTATTTATCATTATTCAAAGAATGATTTCCTTTTATAGGCAAATTAGATAAAAGATCTAACTATATATTATTTCTGCAAGTAATTGAGTCCTTCTCTAACACTTTAACTATTGAGTCTAGTGGACATCCACATAATAATATATTTATAACACCAATTAAATATTTTCCCGTCCCTCTAAAAACTATGTAAAAACAATGTAAATTATACTTTTCATTCATTACCAATCTCTTTTAAAAAAATTAATCTACAACATTATCGTGAAATTTTTTTTTATTGCATTATACTGTTACTTTACACGACATTCATAGTGTTTAATCATTAATTATAACAAAATGCGACATACTTTTGAGTTTTACAATAAGAGCTAAAAAAAGCCAAAGTATTTAACTTTTTTTCTGATTGATCTGTTTCATTGCATCGTTGTAATAACTCATTCTTTCAATTCTTAATTGAGTAACATACTTTCCATCTTAATATTCATATTTTTTTATGATAAAAATTATCATCCCGTGCAACTCCCGGGTTTTAACATCTAGTTATTTCTCGTACTAGTCCAGAAACATGAACTGTTACTCTAGTACGGCTCCAGCAGAAACATGAATTGAGTGGTAAACCGGATCAAAGGTAAAAAGGGGCCTTATGTGTCATTTTCTTTTCCGTTTATGTGTATTTTTTCTTTTCTTTCATTTTTTTAATTTTTTTAATAGTAAATGAGAGGGTGAAAACTCAGCAAAGATGAAAGGAGACCAATTATTGGATTACAAAAGCTCAATTGCATTGTTATACCTCTCTTGCAAATAAAAAAATATAAATAAATAGGAAGAAGGGGAGTGCTACCAGCCAATCACTTCCAAAATTAAAAAAAAAAACATGAAATATTCAAAGAAATAACATCAGTCAACGGCTTTTGAAACGAAACACAGCCTTAACTATTCCTACTTGGAAAAAGTGGTCTTGATTTTTGTAACCATGGAATGGATTCCCTTATGCATTTTCCTCAAGGCTGAAGAGGTGAATGACATGAGATTAGACACTTGTTGCTTCAATGGTGGTAGCGAGTAATACCTTGGTTTAGTACCTTCAAGCCAGTAATTGAATTGTGCTCCACACCTGCCCCAAAATAAAAAAGAAAAGAGAGGATCCTTTAGTTTTATACTATCTTTAATATAAGATATTTTGATTTGTCCTAGTATATATTTTTAATTGACGAAAAATCTTAAAAAATATATTTTCACATTTGTTGTATATATTTATTCAAGGTAAAACTTAGAACAAATCAAAATGTCTTATATTAAGAACCGGAAAGAGTGATTGGATAAACAATCCTACTTTGCAACGCTGATTCCACATACCAACCCATGCACCCATAACATAATAGATGATCACAACCCTTTATCCTAAACGTTTGATTCCCGGGATTTTCACCACCACAACTTACACAACGGAAACTAACATTAGATGCATCAATCTTTTCTTGATCAATCTCCATGTTAATTCGTTTGCAGTGCGAGATGATCTCAAAAATCTTATGTTATTATATATACTTCTTCCCGTCACAGAAAAATAATTCCTTTGTTGACCATTATAACAATGTTTATTTAAGTTATCATTATCTTTCAGTATCGTAATTATCATGTATAACTGATATTGGTGGTTATCATTTTAGAGTTCCTATCATCTCCAAACTTTTTATCTAGCCGCGAAAGGAAAAAAATATAATAATAATAATAATACAAAGATAAAGGGGAAAATAATTCAATACAAATTAAATGTGTAACCAGTATCTATCTTTTGAGAAGATTCAAGGTTGCAGGGGATTCAGCGGAACAAATCAAACACAATACAATTTTAATCCAGTCGACTATGACAAATGACTCAATAATAATCTGCAATCGAATACGGGATACAATCATCCTGACTACAGTACAAAACCTTCCTTAACAAAATCGATCAACAAATGACAATTGACTCAAGAAATACAACTCTGCCCCAACTAATACAACATTAGAAATTGGAAAACTATGAATCCTTGGAAAAAATTTCTTCTTCTTGTGAATAGTAAGAGAAGAACTTTAGGACTAATAATATTTCTCCGGGCATCAGGATAATCAGCATTTTGGCAAATCAGCAGGTGGAGGCTCTATGGTCTCGGATTCTCCTTTTCCATTCTCAACAATAAAAGACATGCCCAGTCCCCAAGTCAAATGGGAATCAATGTGACAATGGAATATCCAAACCCCTGTTTTTCCAATCATTCAAAGAAAAAAAATATCCCAGATTATTGACATATTATGATAGCTTAGATTGATCCCGGACCTCCAATGTAAAATATGATGGAAATTTACAAAAAGAAATGGAATTCAAACCTGGATTGTCGGCTACAAAACGTATGACTGCCCATCCACCAACAGGTACATCAATCGTGTTTCGTACAGGAGGATCATTAAGATTGAATTTCGCAGTATCCGTTTGAGGATTGAAGTTCCCGAAACCTTGGCCAACGACATAGAAGTGGTATCCATGAAGGTGAATGGGATGATCCTCTGTTGAGAAGATTCCTGTATCTTGCAACACAATCTGTACATTAGACCCGAATTTCAGTTTGTATAACTTTGTCCCGAAAACGGGTTGGGAAAGCGATCTTGGTACGTTCCCTGTGTAATTGAACTGAACAGGTGGAACTGGAGGGAAGTCTAATGTGTACACTCCAGGAATATTATTGTAGTAGGCTTGAAGCAGGGAAGTTGTGTTGGGAAGCTGGAAGGAAACGTTGTTCATGCTGGCCGCGAATCGCGTGTTATTAGGCCCTTGGCAACGAGGACCAGGGTTGCAGTTTACCATGCCTAATCCCACAGTAAAGAATAGATTCTCATCAATTTGAGTGGGGACTTTGGCATTGGAAGGAATGATGCTTCTTAATTGGCTCGTAAACGCAGTTACAGTGTTGGTGTCGTTGTAGGCTGGAAGCTGTGGCAGAACCGGCCTGGAGGATGATCCTGTTTTGGAATTTGTGTACTCGAGGATGGCTGTGGTGGTGGTGTTGTCGAACGGGGCGTTCTGCGCCGTGGCATACGCCCGTGCTGCCATGTAGTATCGGCCGCCAGGCTGATTCGCCGTCAGGAGAACATCCGTCGTCTGGCCTGGTCCGACCATGATCACTCGGGTTGTAAATGGTTTGTGGTAGATCGCATCAGCTGCGACGACTGTGAGCTGATGATTCGCTACGGTGAAGAAGAGCTGTTGATGGAGTGCAGCGTTGATGACCCTTAGCAGAACTGTGTCTCCAGGGTTCACTGAAATCTTGAAAGTATCTGTACAATATCATAAATTAGTATTTCTTAGTTCCTATTGATTATAATTTCTAGTCATAAGAAGTTGCAATTTTGTCAAATGAAGCATTAACCTTGGCTAGAACATTTGTAAAGATCACCAGGTTGACCATTTATGGTGTATGCATCCGAGACATTTGGAGCATTCCCGGTAAAGAGAGCCTGTCTCAGTACACGGATGATATCTCTATTCCACCATTGCCCTGATGATTGTAGTTTGTGTTAATATGACAAGTCTCATTGATTGAAGTCTTTTAAAATAGGACCAGCTCGATAGAGAAAGTAAATTCAGTTAAGCGGTTCAGTGATTGAAGCATCACACTGAATGAATTCACCGGCTCTGTCATTATTCTCGTGCTAGGACTGAGAGTACGTTACCTAGGAGAATGGAGACATCGTGCTTCGGGTTAGGGAAGGGAAATGATGAACCCTGTTTGGGGAACATGATAAAGGCTCCATACACAGTGGCCCTAAGCCATCTGCTATGAGCATGCCACCACAAAGTGCCTTCCTGATCGTCTATGCTGAATCGGTAAGTGTAAGTTCCTCCAGGTCGAATCGGGCATTGAGTGATGAATTCAGGGCCATCTGCCCAGGGTGTTCTCATTTGTCTAAGTCCATGCCTGATGAAACAAATCACAACTCACAAGTTAAATTTGGCGCAATCAGGCACAAGAATATACAAGATACAGAGGAATGATTATCGCGGAAGTGGGAATAAATTTAGTTACCAATGAATTGTGACATTGTAACGACCCCTGTTTGTAACCTTTATCACCAGGGAATCCCCATTTCTAACAGCAATAGTTGGTCCTGGAAATTGTCCATTCACTGTAAGAATGGAATGGGTTTTGCACAGCCTCCTCACTGGCGTCTCTTGAACCTGTTCCCCGAAATAAGAATCAATTCTACGCCGGTAACATACATTGGATCGAGCAGAGAAACAAGAACTTAAACGTTAAAAAAAAAAAAAAGTCGATTAGGCGTACCACAAAGTCATGGTAGTGAACTTCAGCATTTGCAGAAGTAGGTATAGTGGCAAGAACAGCCAAAATGCCAAGGAGAAAACAACATGAGAATGGCTTTGCAGTTTTGATAAGGCTGAAAGTAAAACCACCCATTTCTTTAAACCTTGATTGATTAATGCCTAAAAGGGTAACTAACTTGATATGTTTTACTTTTAGTGCATGAATTTTAGAGCTCAGAACAGCACCTATATATACTAGTCCAACGAAGAGAGAAGAATCTCAAATCAGAATTGTTTAAATCTCAAATATGAAATTTGGGGGAGTTTGGAACAGATCATCTTAGACTGAAACATCTTGACAAACTTGGTAACATAGTCCAACCACATGAAGGATTTGGTGCACCCACTGATCCTATTAGTCCTAATACTATATTTTTTTAAAAAAATATTACAGTCGCAGTCAAGTTGTAACTAAATTGTTGATCAACTCCCATTCCACTCCTAGGTAACAGATCCTAAGCAATAATAATTTGGTATTCCTTCAGTCAAGTGCAATGGGAAACCAAGGATCTTGGGCTAATCCTGAAAATGTTACTCCCTATGTCCCAAAATTATTGTCCAGTTTGAGATTTCACTTTTAGTACAATTTGAATTAGAAATAAAAATCTAAATTGGACAATAATTATAGGACGGAGGGAGTATTTTGTAGTAGTTAAAACAAATGAGTCATGAATCCATCTTTTCCTTTGAGTTGATTGGAGGGAAGATATTCAATCTAGGTTGCTTGTTTATCTACTTTGGTCCTCTGTTGGATCATAACGCCATGAGAACAGGAATTAGGATTGTCAATTATGATATTATCACACTTCTGCTTAATTATGTATAAGTAACACGGACACTAAAAATTACTATCTTGAAGAACATGTCGAGGTTTGTCTCTTGGAAACAATATTCATACCCTAAATGATAATTTGCTATGTCTTGACTAATGGACGTGAAGGGTAATCTATTGATGCCCGTTCTTAAATTGATGTCTTTGAAAATATATGAAGTGAATCCTACATTATGCACTTTAAAGAGAAAAAAAAAAAAAAGGACTTTTGGCAGAAATGGGATTTATTGACTTAAGAAGTGACATTATGGGTAGGTAGAGTTGAAGCAATTAAAGAAACGAAAAAAAGGGTCAAAATCAGTGGAAATTCGTCGTCGTTAGTTGAGGAGATGACTTTCACTCCCTTCCAGTGATGTACTAGATTTGGTTAATTTAGTAACAGATATTCCAGAGGGGTGCCACTTCTGAATGAGAGTAGAGCAGTTCGTTAGCCAAACAATAGTCCATGCAAAGAACCAACCAATCCTAATTAACCATTTGGGTTTTTTTTTTTTTCATGCGGTATAAAAGTGTTGCAATGGATTTTTGAGCTTGATGTCGAAAGTCAAGAACAGGTAAATCACAAATGACCTAATTGTTTTTTTTTTTTTTTTTTTGGGGTCTTGTAGTTTCAATTGATAACTTTTAATCACTGGCACATACCAAGTGTTCAGACTCTAATTATAATTTCATATTTAAACTAGTCATGTACATTTATGATATGGACGAAGTGGATAGAATCGTAGAAGGAGAATAGGTTCATTTTGTAGCTTTATGCATGTTTTATTCGATTCGTAGAGGGTGAATAGAATCAGTCATCAGGGACGGTTGGAAAGACTTGAATTTCGATGAGGTAAGAATAAAATAGTAGTTAACTTTAGCTTTTTAGTGGACTTGGTTTCTCAAGCTCAAGGCTTTGTGTTTATGTTTTTACACTGGGAAGATTGATGAAATCCATCCACATTCTAACATCATCCTTCAATCAAGGAACTAATTAGCGGAAAACTCACATTAAACATATGAATAATTTGAGCATATGGATAAACACCACAAATATGATGAGTAATAATTTAATTTTAATTAATAATCATAACTTAATTTTTATATTTAGATGAAATTTTATTTTAAAAATGACGGATAACTAATTTATTTTAGTATTTCTTTTTTTTTTGTTTACTACATATCAAGTCATATTCATTTTATTTTAATAAGGGATTAATTTAGGAAAGTTCATTGTATATTAACTGATGATTTCGATTCAAGGTACTTATAGGCATAGTGGTAGTTGGCCCCATTGCTGAAAAAGCGGTAAGTTCAAGTAGTAAACTGGGCCAGGAAATGCAGACGACTCATGCTCCTTCTTGTAGCTATTACTCAAATGGGCTTTAACCGATCCATTTTATAACCAATTCACACAAACTGTGGCCCGGTGTCAGTCAACAACAAAAGAGCCTCAGTTCTCAGGAGGCAAGTGGATCATTGGTTTCGCTGCAAGACTCTGTTTGTTTGGACATCAATTCATTTTACCTTTTCACTCATTTTACCTCTTAAACACAAAAACCAATGGAAAAGAAAACATCATCTAAACAACTTTTTGATTTACATTTTCAAATCTAACTTGAAACACTTTTTGTTAGTGTAATGACAATTTAGTTCTACAAATAGTTCAGTGACAAATTTGACAGGATTCCATTATTGAGTGATTGTTTTTGAAAAAGTTCTTTTTTGCAGTGACTATAATTGATAGTATTTAATTGTTTAGTGATGACTCGTACTTGATATTTCAAAATGTAGTTTAAAATACTTTTTTTTCAAAACCAACATCTAAACAACTTTTTGCTCAAAATACCATCCAAACAACATTTTTATTTCCCATTTAGTTTTCAATTTGAAATACTTTCCACTTTTAAGTGGTAAAATGAAATGTAAGTTGACGTCCAAACAAGCACTTGGTTTTTGCAGCTGTTTTCCGAAATCTCGCTTAAGGAAGCCAAAACACCTTATCACTTTATCCAAGCAAGTATCGGTGTTTTTGCAGCTGTTTGGAGGCTGAATATTGGGCAGCTTTTCATGGACTGAAAATGACCTTGGAGTTAAGCTTTAGAAAGGTACAACTGAAAATAAAATCTCTGGAGAAGGTAGAGGTTTTTCTGAATGAGAACTCCACTTTTGTTAATAGCGATTTGTTCTATAAAGTTAAGGAACTAATTAGTCTTAACTGGCAAATTTCGGTTGTGCATAACCCCACGAGTCACTAATGTAGTTGTGGATGCACTAGAAAAATGTAGCCTCTTTTGTCCATATTTTGTCGACCCTGGTGAAAGAGAGTATTGAATTAGATAGGCCAACCTCATCTCGATCTCCTTATGGATGTTTTGGTTTAAGCCGTGGCCTTAGTATATGTATTTAAAAAAAAATAAAAAGTAAAAAATTACTCGCATTATTATCATATCGAAATTAGGGTTCCGAAAGAGAGAGGGGGGCAGTTATGGGAGGGGGGATGATAACTTCGACGACAAGCCAATAACGATTGAATAGAAGAAATCTCCTGAAGAACCATCGTCCCATGAGGAGGGGAAATAAACCAATTGAATCTGGTGAGAAATCATCAGCAGCATCAGGCAAGAAGAGGAAATCGTTTTCACCATCATCTACTATTATTGAATCAGTGGAAAAATCATCGCTGCCACCAGACAAGGCAGAGAAGGAGGAGGAGCGTATATGGATGCCTCGGCCTACCAAATTTGAGGAGGGTCTCAAAGAAAAGTACTTCGCCGAGATTCACAACACTCGGGTGAGTTTTAACCTATTTTTAGTTACCTTCTTTCCCTTTATTCTTAATTCCTTTTTTAGGGTTTATTATTTCTCCAAAAACTTCACGTGCATATAGAGCTTGATATATTGGGGGTTTTTCTTTTTCTTTTTTATCAGGGTTTCGAGGTGATTTGTTGTCCGGCCACTTACCTTCTTAAGAGAGGCTTCGTTCCTTGGTCTTTTATAGAGAAAATGCCCACATCAATCCCCGACCAAATCGTTGAATGGTCTGTTGAATGCCTTTCCATATTCAACAAAACTCATAATAAGGTACCTTTTTCAGTTTATTTATTTATTTTTTGAATGGGTTGTTTCTGGTGTTATCAGATTGATGTATTTTGTTAATGCCAATGGTCTTTCACTACGGTACTAAATATGCAGTAGGGAAGTGATTTTTTTTTTCTGTACCTCTTGTTACTGAGTTCCGATATTTATATATGTAGAAATCAGGGAATGATGCGTATGAATTGGTTGAGGTTGAGTATTTAGTGAAAGTATATTGGGGGTAGTAACCAAAGAGACAACAAAAAGACACCAAAGAATAAAAATGAAGAATGATGAACTTTATAGATAGATTCTTGAATCTAACAATAATGGAGAAATCACAAAGATTTGGATGTGTTCTAAGCGTGTAATCACTGTCTTTAAGACAATATTTGCCCCACTACTTTGCAGAACCGGGTTTGATTGGCAATTTGTCTCTAGGATATGAAGAAGCACAAGAACAAGCAACTTTGCTATTATTCCTTGTTCTTTAAGAATCTAAGACTTATCAAAAAGACTTATCAAAAACCTGCAGTTGTTCACCTATTTATAGGGAAACACTAGAAATTGAAAGAATACAAAACAAGGCTTATAGCCTCTGAGTTCCAAGTCACCAACGTAACCTTTTATGAATACTTGTCATGTTTCGTATTCTTTTAATTACTTGACACCCTTTGGTTCCAGGAAGATTGAACTAAGTCTAGGTTGTAACTTTTCAGTTTTTGATTTTATTTCACAAACTAAAACCCAACAATCCCCCCACTTAGTTTGCGATATAAAACAGTCACAAATATTGAGAATTATGCATAAGGAGTGGTAACTTTCGTCTTGAACCACACTATAGTGAAAATTAATCACGAATACAGCTAATTTGTTGGTGGCTCTTTGCTTGAACCAACAATTAAATCACATCAGACTTGATTTTGCACACACAAACACTCATAACATTCCTTATAATTCACATTATTGTTTAGCACTATTACCGGTTATGTGCTCATCCTAGTTTCTTAACCATGTACAAGAGATAACCTCAAACTCTTGCTAAAAGCGACACCACTTCTATGGTTAAATAGGTGAAAGTTATTCAAATTCATTATTTAACCATAATTGAATACACACGAATAATTTCATTAAGAGATTGCTCTCAACCTACTCACTTAAGAGTAACATAATGCACCAACCTTGGAATGGTATACACATTAATTTGGTGCTCACAGTTACAAAACAACTTGTTTTTACCCTTTGAACCTTTCAATCTAGTGGTCTACTAGAAGAATGTTGGGTTTCCATTGTTTGTAATTTTAGATAGAAGTTTTTAATCCCATTCCTCATGTTGTCAAAAAACACCAATTCTTTCGCAAGAGATCTGGTACATGGATCCAGAATAGAATTGTGTTTTCACAAACACAACATCGGCAACATCAACACTTGTATCTCATTAAGAAATATATATATTGAATTAATATGTCTATATTTACTTATTGTCAAATTCTACCCAATATTCAAGACATATTAATCTAACTATCACAACACAAGGTTACAGGCGACACAGGCCAGTGCCCTTTGGCCACTTCACCTCCTTATGTACTGAAGATAGTTCAACAAATTCAGCTTTTCTTTTCTTCATATATTGGAGAGAGTGATTACTGTTTGCTTCACTTATCAAGAAACATCTCTCACTACCAAGCATGAATTTCTAACCACTAACGGTTTATAATTACTAATGCTAGAATACCAACTAGCATTCGAATAGCCCTTAAGAACAATATAAATCTAATCAATTATAATAAAATCATAAACCTTAGTCTTTCAAAGACATATTATGATTTTAGTATTAGATTTACAATGATCTTTACTTAGGCACTTAGTGTAATTAGTGAGTCACGTATCACACAGATAAACACTACTCTAATGCACATTCAAGACATCAAATGTCACTAGAAGGTTCTAGTTTACTGATTGGATCATCACATTTAACACTAATGTTAAATATAAAAGCATGAGAGTACAAACTTTCTTCACATTCACATGTTACACTTTGTTAGTAACTTACCAACATCATATGAATAAGAAAGTACAAAACCCCCACTATTTCCTTCAGTATAACAACTAAGAAATTACCTCTTTCACCAAGCTCATTTAATTTGAACTTAGAAAAATGATTTTTTCTTAGTATTTACTGCATATTTTTAAAATTAGTATGTGGATTGAGTATAAATATTTATACAAAAGCAAACATCTATTACATACTCTTCACAAACTTTTGACATATGCAATTTACAACATATATATACCATATGAGAATAACTTAGATCAATCACCATGCAATTGTATAAAATCAAATCAAGATTTCACTAATACACACATCTTTTTATTATTTCACAGCACAAGTATTATGAAGTTTCATATACACATTTTCATATAAATCACCACTAGGAGAGTACTTTCCATATTTAATAGGTGAACATGAAAAACTTAAATGGAAACTTTTAACTAGCAGTATAAAATATGCAAGTCAAACTAATCAAAGCAATCATGACACTTCAAGTCCATCATGCTATCAATAGCATATTACTAATGGAACAACCATTTACAATGTACTAGTCTAGAACCTTTCAAGTTAAATCAATTTGGACACATACATCATTAGACAATGTCCAGTTCATTGCATGATTAACTTTTCTTTCCAAAATGCATCAGCCTAAAACTCAAAAAACTCATTGGTTTTAACTTACTCATTTATTAGTAGAGTATTTCTTTTTGCTCTCACTAGAAAGTCAGTAGCCTTAGAGGAAATAACTTTCAAGAGAACTTTTATAAATTTTAGACTTTGCTTAAAACAGAAAGTCAACGTCTTTCTCTTTCGTTCACTCATAGAACCCTTTTCACTTTGGAAACTAAGAGGTTCACTAAATGGCACATTAGCTACTTGGTTTAGAAATTTTTAAAACAAATTTTTAAATGAATCTACATCTATTATTAAACAACTATTTAATAATGTGTATTCCACAAACCTTTTGGCTACTTAAACTCATAGCATTGCTGTGACACATAGAGTTTTTATAGTCTTAGCCAAACTATTGGTTGTTTATTAAATACTTGTTCAGTTTACCTACTAGAGTAATTTTAAACTAGGGATTTACATGCAAAACGTATCAAATATTTTATCCATTATTTTTATTAGATAAACATGCACATAAATATGAGCGATTATCTATAAAAGTAACAAAATATTTCTTGCATTCCTTAGTTTAAAATTATTGATTTCACATATAACAAAGTGTTGTACCAGCAATAACTTCCAACTTTTATTTGAAAGTAAAATCTTGCAACCATGGCTTATGCATATGTTTCACATTTTTATTATTAAGGCATTTGACACTAATTAATTTATATCTTATACAGATATATAATACCTTAGCAGCCACAAATAATAAAAATGTCCAAGCATAACACCATATAAATGCTTTGATATTGAATAAAACAATGCAAAAGTAAGCACTATCGATTCAAAAAGTTTCACTGCAAAAATAATACTTGGCTATCAACTAAGGTCACAACCTTAACGTGTCATTTGGATGACTAGACATGACTTTCACTCGTGTCTTTTCACGTTGAACCAATGGACATATTCTTTCAAATATGTCTTCCACTTGGAACTAGTAGACACCTCCTTTTATTTGTATTTTCTCACTTAGAATCAATAGATACAAGTTTCATTTGGATCATTTCAATGAACTCACAAGAAAAAAATACTTAACATGTCTCTATTTATCCAAAGATCAAGAAATCACAACTTTTCATAAAAGTTGTCGATTTCGTTTCACTATAACCATACTTTTGCATAGCTATGAGAAAATTTTACGTGCATAAAACATTTGATTCCATACATAGCATCAAATTTTCAGAACCAAAAATTGTGCCAAAAATTATTGGAATATAGTTATATTTTTCTGTCGTCAACTTTCATGTCGACTCTATTATAGATTTTCAACACAATTGGTCTTACTAGTTTGAATAATAAATATTCACACATCTTCATATAAAGGCCAATTCAACACAATTATAACAATATGTCTTTCACATTTCTCAAAACTAAGAAATTTAAGAAAAAAAATTCATCACGTATTTTGTTCTTGTCAACAAAATTCACTTTAAGATCACTAATAAATAATCATTATAAGATCTTAAATACTAATTAATCTAGATAATTTTCACAGCACTAGATTTGGTTCAAGCAAAATTAAAACACAAATCTACAAACTTTTAAATTATCATGATAGATTAGTTTACTATGAATTTTGTAATTTCAAAGAAAACATATAACACAACGTTAATGTATATAAATTTGAGACTTATCTGCGATATACTCGCTTGAGTATACTCCAAATCTTTCTAGATCTGTCTTCAGAACTTGACTACGGAATTAAACCGTAGAGAAAACATTTTGAGCACACCCAAAAATCTCTATGTTGTAAGATCCATCTTCATTGCTTTCCACAGTCTTTGATCTCTGTCTCCTTATATATTTATACCAAAATCATGGCTAAAATATTGTCTTAAGATTGAAAGTATATTGGGGTAGTAACCAAAGAGACAACAAAAAGACACCAAAGAATAAAAATGAAGAATGATGAACTTTATAGATAGATTCTTGAATCTAACAATAATGAGAAAATTACAAAGATTTGGATGTGTTCTAAGCGTGTAGTCACTGTCCTTAAGACAATATTTGCCGCCACTACTTCGCAAAACTGGGTTTGATTAGCAATTTGTCTCTAGGATACGAAGAAGCACAAGAACAAGCAACTTTGCAATTATTCCTTGTTTTTTAAGAATCTAAGAATACAAAAAGACTTATAAAAAACCTGCAGTTGTTCACATATTTATAGACAAACACTAGAAATTGAAAGAATACGAAACAAGGCTTATAGCCTTTGAGTTCCAAGTCACTAACGTAATCTTTTATGAATACTTGTCATGTTTCGTATTCTTTTAATTCCTTGACACCCTTTGGTTCCAGAAAGATTGAACCAAGTCTGGGTTGCAACTTTTTAGTTTTTGGTTTTATTTCACAAATTAAAACCCAACATTTAGTGTGTATCCACGTCGCTGCTGGTTATTATATGTTTTATATAACTTTCAAAGCCAAAGCAGCTTCATCTGGCAATGATGTGTTTCGAGCTCGGTATGCCATTGTGAAAGGCCCACGCAAGCCTGGTGTTCGGGTCGGTGTGCTTTCTTGCGAGCTGAAAAAAGTGCATGAAGCCCGTTGCCAGGAGAAGTTTTCAAAGGAGGGTGCACGTTGTTGTCTCCCTTGCTGCATTGCTAAATATCCACCAGTTTTGCGCAAACATGGTACTCAAGAATATAAGGTGTTTAAGAAAGCAGAGTTTTATGACTTTTGAGAGAAACTTCTTGATGAATGAGCTTGTTGTCTTCGTTAAGGGATGTGGTTTCTTCGGATGGTTTATGTATTTCATATGTAAGCAATAAGTATTTACTACTTTAGTCTTTTGTTTGTATCATATGTTATATGGTTCTGGTTGTTTTGTCATTTGATCACTTCACAGATGGAGTTAATTTCTTGTTTTTTGTGATTAGCACTAGCAAAACTATAATTGTGATGAGAGGTTGTTTGGTGTGGTAGTGTGATGGAATGGTATGGTCTTTTCATGCATTTGTTGAAAAACATTATCCTTAGGTTGGGAAATTTTTGAGGTGGTCTCTTGCAATGTATATATACTTCCAGTTCAGGATTTTATTTTCTAGTACAGTTTATACTAAAAATGAGATTCCAAACTCTAAAATCACTCTAGGACGAGTATATATTGATACTATACCACCGCATTTTGGGGTAGACTATATAAGGTTCCTAAGGAAACAAGTTACGAGTAAAGGAAAGAGTTAATTACAAGAGGAATGGGAGGGGCTTCTTCAAAGTTCTTGAGCTCCTCCATACATCCAAGTCTTAAGATTTTTGTTCATGATTGATGATTGAGACTGTGCCACAAAACTATAAAATACAAAGTTCTAAGATGGACGCCGCTATGTTTAAAATTTAGAAAGCTTGTAAAACGGTTACCAAGAAAGCTAGTAAACCCTTTGTAAAGAAAGCAAGCGTTTATCTATTCGTTTTATACAACACAGATGTACTAGATTTGGTTAATTTAGTAACAGCTATTGGGAAGGATGCCACTACCGAATGAGAGTAGGGCAGTTCGTCCATGCAAAGAACCAACCAATCCTAATAAACCATTTTGGGTTCTTTTCATGATATTATAAAACTTTTGCAATGGTTTTTGAGCTTGATGTCGAAAGTCAAGAACAGGCAAATCACAGGACACAAGTGACCTAATTGTTTTTATTGTCTTTTCATATCCCACCGGTGCTCGAAATCACAATCCCCGATTCCCCGTCACTCTAAATTTGAGTTAACTAGTTTCTTTTTCTCAAATTAATAAATATTTTTAATAATTAGCGCATATTGATACACACGCAGGTGTTCCAACCTAATCTATAAGTGATAAATTTCATATTGCAATTAGTCAGATATATTCCTTGCATCATTTTTAAAAAAGAAGAAAATCGGGGTTACCTTACTCAATGACTTGTATATCAGAGCCACTACACAGCCAGCTCTTACAAAGCAATCCCCAACATTGCTTACATGAACAGCAGCAGACTTTCAGTCGAATGTACAAAATTAGAAAAGCCAAATCAATCTTGCACCATTAATTTCATCATCAAATATCAAGTATCAAAAAAAGAAAAAATAAATAAATAAATAAATTGAGCATAATAAACTACTGTGTATATTGCCAGTCTTTTCGCTTGAAATAATGGAGGTTTTCATAAGCCGATTCAATGTACTAAGTATTGAACAAATTCAAAACCGTCCTAACAATATTAGTTCAAAATGTTCCACGGCCATCAATTTTCTTTTATGAAACTAAGGTCTATATATCATCTTGCAATAAGCATGAAAGTTAGTATTATTATTAGTAGTAGTAGTATTACGTATATATTTAGTTATTTACTTTGCAGAAAAAATGTTATTATTTTCGTCACACACTTTACCAATGAAGAAATGTAGCTCTCTGTCCCTGAGCAGAATACACTTTACTGCACACTTACGATGTATGTTCTTTTTCATGATATTGACAATCATTCAAAATTTAGAAACATAATAATAGAATCACAATTCCATTGTCATTCGCATAAATATTCTATTTTTTTAATTCATATAAACATTACAATAACAAAAAAGTTTAATGTGTCACGTGCATCTTATGAGTGTCATCTAGTTATAATTGTAATACTTAAATAAGCAATGTGAATTTATCACATGCATGAAATGATTCACTTGTTAATTTTGGAGAATAAATACATGTTGGGGCTTTGCGTTTATTCAATTCATAGAGGGTGAACAGAATCAGGGACGGTTGGGGAGAGTGGAATTTCGATGAGATTTGAATGAAAGAGTAGTTCACTTTAGCTTTATGTTTTTACACTGGAAGGTTGATGAAATCCTTGCACATTCTACCATCATCCTTCAATCAAGGCATTACTTAGCCATCTGTAAACTACTCCTTTGATGGTTTTGTAAAAATGTGATTACTCATTAATCAATCTCCAAAATAGTACTCCTTCCGTTCCATAATTATTGTCCAGTTTGGATTTTCATTTCTAGTTCAAACTGTACTAAAAGTGAAATCTCAAACTGGACAATAATTTTGGAACAGAGGTAGTATAATCTAAATAGTAGTACTCCTTCATCTTTGCTAGAATCTATGGCATTTATTTGCAGAGAAGAACTTAAGGAAAGAACATGTAAAACCCAGAATCTGAGAAAAACGCTTTCTGAAGATAAGAAAACAAAAATGGAAATCAATTAATGCACTCGAAAATTTATGCCAAGATTCATCGTTACAAGACCTGTTAAAGCTCACAAATGAATAACATTGGTATACGTGTGTACATTGGGTATAAAAAACAAAACAAAAACCCTAAATGCAAAAGAAAACTTATAGAAAAGTTACAAAATTTCCGTGGTGTAAACTCATCCAACAGCAATAACAAATCTTCCCAAACAAGACATGAAAAAAAATATGATCCAATATCAACAATCTCTACAAATGCACCTTCAATGCCTGCAGAGATTTTACTTTTGATTCACAAATCTTTAGCAACTCAGACAGTGAAGTTCTTTGCCCCCCGATAACCTTCCTCACTATATCGGCTGCACTCCAAGACTGCAATGCTTTAGAGATTCGATCACCCAAATCTATATCATTCATTGATGAAATCACATTGTCCAAGATATGGATAAGTTTTCCGGGCCCTTCACTTCCAGCTTTACCCTGATCACCCAAATCCATAACACTCATTGATGAGATAACATTGTCTAAGCCTTCGCTTTTGCAATTAACCTGGAGTGTGGAAAACACGGTTCCAAATTTTGAATCATCAGGCTTACTGATTTGCTGACTTATCCACTGTATGACCTCCTTTAATATATCACATAAATTCTGGATGGAATCTGATAAATCATGAGATTTATGATTGTTTATCTGTTCTGACACTCCACCTTTCTTCTTCTTCTTTCCAGTAGGGGGAAATGAGCGGACACAAGACTGAATTATTAAACTATGCCAAGCCAAGGGTTCAGATACCAACTGCACCAGCAACGGAAGGTCACCGCCAGGAGAAGAGACAAGTGCTCCCGTGGCTGTCACTTTATGGAGAATACAGTTCTTCAGCAATGAATTCACGACATGCCAATTGATAGACCCTTTATAATCTTTATTTGGACCCTCTATCCCATTAGAGTTCAGACTCCAGGCATTTAAAAACACAACAAAATTCATCCAGTCAACCATATCAGAGCTCAGAACCTGCATGTTTAAATCACAAACAAATCAAGGTGAATCCCTCACACATGAAAGGTAGATTGAATATGAAGCAATGTGCAAGCAAGCACCAAAAGAAATTTTCAACATGGCAAACATCAGATGTTGCCATGAATGGACAACTAATCCAGACCAAAAAAAAGGTTCAAACAAGAGACTGGGCGTTCAGTTTCTTTGTGGTTTTATTAATTAATAAAAGCAACATAATGCTGATACCTCAAGAGAATGATGTCCGCTTGAAACCCCCAAAACCAGTTCTATTGCATCCTGGAAGGCAAACCCTAAGATACTGGCATAGCGCTCAAGCAGATATTTTAGCTCTGATGACAATTTCGGGTCAAGTATCGAACCATTGGCTTCAGTATGTTCCTTCACAGATAATGATGCACAATGGAGAGACAGGTAAATCATCCGTGGAAGAAGAGATCTCTTCTCAATGTTTCTCAACACATTTGCTTCCGTTTTCTTAATCTGAAAAGAATGAATAGAGATAAACATAATTAGGCTCAGTTATTATTCCAAGACCCTTTAATAGGCTTGTTAGCTTCTCATACCCTCTAAAAAACATGTCTGGCCCCATTTATCATTGGAAAGCCGCGCAACCAAATTGAAAGGAAAATTAAAGAGAAAAAAATATCCCGACCAGAAAAACAGGAGAAGCAAACCATATATATACCCACATAACAGTCCAAATGAGGTACTTTAAAACTATAAGATGGATGAAGTTTCCTACCAGATTCTCCTTGGGGTAATAGGATACTCCTTCAAATGGCCCTGCAAAGCAGAACACAGCCAATGTTACCACAAATTACAAGGGCACACAGCAAAAATGTTTCAAATTGTGAAGCGGAAAAGCTCTAAAAACTATAAAGATAATGCAACACTTTGTTGTTCTTTATTCATACTAATCATACATGTATCTTGTACTGACCTAATAGATAATTTTTATCAATGGTAGGTGTCCACCAAGGTCGTAGCTGCAAATCTTCATTGAAGGTTAGAGATTTACTTCCAATCTCATTGGAGAGAACTGCAAAATGTTCTCCGCCTTTCAAGCTCTCCAGGATACGCTACAAAGACAGATGAAATTTACTTCGATGTTGCATTTACTCAACAGAAAATTCAAATACAACACCTACGAAACAAAAGAAAAATATATAAATCACAAAGCAAAATCAAAATTAAGAGGTTACCTCCTCTTCTTGGATGCTATCAGCATTCTCCTTCAACTGTAAGATTGGTGCTTCTATTTTTGCAAGCAGATATTGGTTTGATCGCTGTAAACGTTCTTTAAATTGAACGAATTCAATCACCTAAAAAACAGAAAAAAAGATTGATTGAAATTGCCTCATTGTGTTGGTTCCAGCTTAGAACACACCAGATGTAAAAGAAAAACCTTGATCAAAGAATCTGGAAGCATTCATCATTATAACCTCAAGAAAATGGTACTATTTCACACATTCCATTCATACTGTAGTAGGAAATATTCCTTTACCCTCTGCCACTTGCCTTGGAAACGAACACAATGAGAAGCATCTTTAACAAAGATTAAAAATTCTTGAGTTAATGTCAACAAAGTTGCTAAAAATGATTAATCCGAACCTATAGGGTTCTCAACTTCCCTAGACTTCTTATTTCAAGATTAATTTTTAAACTTTTTATTCATACATTCCGTTCGCCAGAGAGAAAGATGACTCTGATGCTCTCTTGAGTAATAGCATAGGATGTTTCCAACAAGCAAAAACAGAGATTGGCAAAACATTATCTGTAACATGTATCTAAAAGGCTTAAAAGGCATCCATAAAGATGTTGACTTCATACAACCTAACAAAAAAAATTTCTGACCTTGGAATAATTTCGATGGCGATAAGCCAAAAATGTGAGATCTGCAGATTCCCTAAGGTGATCGTCCATAAATTTTAAGTAGTCGGTCAGAAGATTATTCAAATCTGGCCAAAGCGGAGATGCCAACATTTGGGGTAAGATGTGATGTGATACAGTTTCCAGCAAAATATTTTTCACATCCAAAGATTTATACCTACACATAATAGGAAGAGTTAACATGCTTGGATGGTTAAAAGTTTGCAATCTTCAACTGCATATTTTTACATAAAACCCTACATTGAAGTGCTAAAATTGCAAAACTTTCAAGTGCTGTTGGCTTACCAGTCATATGCAACAGAAAGAGCACCCCAATAAGAATAAAGGTGAACCAGCAAAATCTTATACTGCGAAACGTGTCTGTAAAAGATAGCAAATAGGTAGATCTGTAAGAACAGAAGAAGAAATTTCTACAAAGGAATCAAACCTTGGCACAATATACTGAAATGAAATGAAGAGAGATGGAAATTCTTCATAAAGTCACAACTGGAAACATATACCATTAACTAAGAGCTAAATAAGACCAACACAAATCAAATACACGCAACTTAAGCATCATCCATTAATCAGATAAAAAAGTATCAGAACAAGCATTTTAATATTACGTAAAAATTCATGATCCAACATTATTTTGGGGGCGGGGTGACTCGTAAAGGTAAAAGACCCATAAGCCAGCGTCTAGAGAAAGCAATAACTCAACAAAGCAATAAAGAGCATCATATAAGGATCTAGAGAAGACAATAGCATGCTCGCTAAACTAAAGTGCAAGCTGACAATCTTGAGCTTTAATAGGCACAATGCACTCCTGATCCACTAAACTTGGACAAGTTGCAGAAATTACTGTTCGGACGAAAGGTTAGATTCAGCATGAATCTTCAGAATTTTAATATAAAACTAAATCGAAAAGAAAATCTCTACCTTCTAATTGTCAAGCCAAACTCAAGAATCATTATAGACTCCAGCAGATATCCAATATTCCTCGTCCTCCAGAAAAGCTACAGACAGAAAGAAATTACAACACTCACTTCAGTAGAAAGAAATGAAACACATCGTCGAAGTGAAAACACCCCAAAAACCTGCCCAGAACAAAGAATTGAAAAGATCTTGAAAACCAAAGATTTGTAAATTATATATCAGGCCAGAGTCATTCTTTGGCTTATCAAAAGAAACAAAACTGGAAGCGTCATACCTGCACCAACAGATTGCAAGCCAAAGGTAGAAGCTCTTCGCCGTGCATATTCTCTTGAATATCTAAATCTTTAGACAGCGGGAGACTTTTACAGAACATATCAACCATTTGTATGGCTTCACTCTCAAGTTCTGAAATGGAACAAAAGTTAAAATCTACATATAAGCACAAGAACTCGGGGAAATTATCATACAAAGAAAATATATTTAAGTAACATAGTTAAACTCTCGACAATAAACCAAGGAGAAAGAAGGTATCAGCCCCGTTACACGACACTAGTCCACAAACAAACTTGTTAAAGAGATGGTACTTTCAGGACCTGACATGACTACACCATCAAGGAAAAATAGCCATCAACAGAATATCGAGCCTTAGAGGACTCCACATAAAGCTTTATAAGCATCCGAAATGTTAAACATACATGCATAGCAAATTACAGTAAACTAAATTTTCAATACTTACATTCACTGTTTAATGCGGACAAAGAAGGGCCCAAGAACTCTATCATTAGGATATTCTATTCTTATGCCCAGGATCATCATGATCCAAGGAAGGAACCAAAGTGTTAGGACTTTGGTTGAGTTAACCCTTTATAAGCAGCAATTTAATTAGTTCATTATTTTCAGTAATAATTTTAGGAAGGGGTATTTTAGTATTTTAACAATGCTGCAGGATTTTCTTGAATAAAAAGGAAATTAGGTGTGAATCCTAGTTGTCTTTGGTTTAGATTAAGTTTTAGGCCTATTTATATGTAACTCATATGAGGAGAATTTTCAGACTATGATTAATAAAAATTCCTGCGTGAAACTTTGCTTGTGCAATTGTTGTGTGATACAACAAAACCCTTGGTGTGATGCCTAGGAATCCTGCGGTGTGATGCCAAAGGGCCCTAAGAGTGATTCTTAGGTTTTCTTCTTCTTTTCCTACCCTTTATCTCAGTTTCCGGTGTTTCAAAGCTTGTTTTCCTACAGATTCTTTTAGTTTTCCGCTGCATGCTATTCTTTAATTAGCCTAAATCCTGATTTTCTTAACCACCATTTGTGCTGCATCACTGTTCCAAATTCTATCTACACACAATAACAAAGGCAAAATGCCGAGAGGAGAACATCATAGTTTGCCACCTCTACCAGTCCCTTCGATACTAATATTAACTGTTCCAAGTTTTATCCACTCTATGACACAATACAACAAAAGCAAAACCCAGCGAGAAGAGAGCATCACAGATTGCCATCTCACCCCGCCCCCTTCCTTCCCATGTTTCTATTGGTCCGAAAGAGGTGTGATACCTAAAAATGTTTTGATTAAGCTCTTTCAAAACAAACACATCTCAATTTTCTAAAAATGATTACACTTTGCATCCAAAGAAAACAGAAGTAAAGATTGCCTTCATTTTACAGGTACATTTGTATGAGTAGGGGCCAAGGTGATTAAGCTGGCCAGGAACAAACCATCTATATGTCGAACACCCCCCAAAAAAAAAAAAAAAAAAAAAAAAAGAAAGGAAGGAAAAACAGGAAAAGCAGCAACTATACCAGGCAAAGGGAGCGAGAACTTGTTCCCAATTAAGTTTTCAATTTTAAACGTTGTAATGGCTTGACCCAGAATCTTCGTTGGTGAGCTACTCAAAGGTTTACATCCTTTCAACTTCTCCAAGAACTCACTTTTGATATGCTGATCCAAAACCGGCAGAAAAGATTCAACATCCGCGGTACAACAAGCCAAATGACCAAACCTGTTTCATATACCAAAAGTAAATCATTCAGAGGTATGAAAGCAAATTGATGGCCAGCTTGATAATCACAAGATGCTGAACCATGCTCCAATGGACAAATACAGTAGGCTTAAATGAAACACTGCAATATTAAAGCATTTACTGGCCAGGGAAATTTTACTGAGGGCATAAAACATTTTCCTTGATTAGTTGCGCATATTATTACTTTTGGTACATACCCACTAAAATTTACAGTTTTCCTGCATTTGGCAATCCATGTTTGAGCTATATTTTAGTTTCCAACAGCACATAAAAATCTTTAGTGGTATGACTTTCTGAAAATATTCAAAGCCCCCAAACAGCTGTCTCTACTTACAATCAGTTGTTAACAACTAAACCACTTCCATGTCAACATGTATGTAACATAAAGGCATAACCCAACATTTTAAAAGCCAATACTTGGTCTGTAACACACCTAGAGAAATACTCCAATAGCCCTTGAACTAACTTGTCGGGATCCCCCTTTCCATACAAAAGTTTCCTTCTCTCAATTTCAAGACTTGCCAAGCATGGCCCTCTTATGGAAGAATTATTTACTTCAGAGAGTAACTTTTGTACAAAATTTGAGGCACCGGAGACACGGGATTCAAGCTGCAAATAGAACTGTATGTAAGCAGAAAAATATACAAAGCTACTGAAAACTTGGTGACCAAGTCATGGATCACTTGTTTTGGTAAATAACAGAAACCAACAGTTGTATAAAAGAGCCCTAAACACACACCACTTCATCCGATAACTGTGAATTCGATTTGTCCACAAGCTTCAGAGGACTGATTTGGCTGCCTCCCGTATCCAGGCACAAGCTACTTCCATCATCTAATAGACAGCCAAGATAATGCAAGAAATATTCCCAATCATCAGGGCTGTAAAAAGGACAAACCAGAATGAATTAAAGAGGAAGCCACGCACAAATAACAGGAAGTAACAACAGAAAGAGATGAGGTAATTAAGAATCTATAATAAACACAAACAGCAAAGAGACAAATCATAGTTACAAACCAAGTTAACCAAAAAGAATCAAAATAATTATTAAAACCAAACAATCTATCTACTCCATTATTCTTTGTTACATTTGTTGTTTCAGACAGTTAGACATACCAGTTGAAGTCATTTTAATCAGCAAAATCAACTACTGAACTGGGAAAAGAAAGACGCTGAAACAAATTAAAGATTATGTTTGGATGACAAATGCAGGAAAAAGTTAGTAGGATTGACTTTTAATGAAGAGTCACGTGCATAAAATCATCCTTGTATTACTTGATTTTGCCATTGACTAAAATTCCAAAAAAACCAAAAAATGAAAAGAAAAAAATTTCAGGAGATCATATCCAATAACTCCATATTTATTTACTAAGTAGATGACAAGAAATCATATTCAATGTAGACCCTAATACAATTATGGCACAGTTCAGTAAAATATAAAACTTCACTATTTACATTCTGAAAACCTACTTCCTATTGAAAAGCCTAATATATATCCAACTCCAATATTTAGCAACTGACAAGCCTTTTTCATGCTTAAATCTGCATGATGAATAATTACATCACTGGAAAACAGAATGGTGATATGCCTTTCAAGGGGTTCCGTGTCATTGGAAGAGGCCTGGCTAACCAATGATCACCAGGTAAGGAGTGCACGCATAACAAAAAAAAAGGTAATGTCCACCTTGATAAAAGTAAACAACAGCAAAACTGACAATGGCAAAAAGACCAAGAAACAAAATATAAACAGTCAGAAAATACATATGTAATTGTCGGTCCACCTTGATCTTTAAATGCATACCATAGTTCTAACACCTTCTGAAAAATATCAGCTGCAGCAGCATAATTTCCTGCCCTAGCAAGAAGCCGTCCCTGTCAACTTGAAGTTACAGGTACAAGTTTAGGGGGAAAAGATAAAAGTAAACAAACTTGCATGGTAAAATTTCAAGTAAAAAGTTCAAGACTCCAGAATTTACCATCAAGTAGTAGAAGAGCATTATTATATAAACCAAGTAACGCATGAAGAGACCACACACCAAGTGTTAACCAAAAGACAAGAATTCGATTAAGAGGAGAACGACGAATGGGACAGTCGATTGAAACCACAAAGTCATGTTCAAACTTTATACATCATGCAATGCAGCCCAAGAGGAAAGGACAAGAGTAAAAGTTATCATTGAGGACGAGAAGTTATTCAGTAACGCAATGCAACAACTAAGAGCTAAATTTTTTCTACTTAGTCGAATCTAACCTATGACCACAATACATTCAACAGAATCAATCCTATGACTTCAAACACATCCAATGTAGATAACAATTTACAAACATCACTTATAGTTAGCTAAGCTAGGACCAGTGAATATTAGACAGCAAGGAATAGTGAACAATAAGCGTGCACCACTTACTTTCATACAAGCAAATGTTTTACACATGGAGGAAAAAGGGAGCCAACAACTCGTATACCAGAAACTAATTCTACAGGAAAAAAAGTTTGTTCCAGTTACAGCACGATGATAAACTCATGAAGAGCAAGTTCCAGGGTATACCTGTAGACGTAGCTTATCAACTTCAATCATTATTAGAGACCCCAACTTTCCAGTAAGAATTTCTAATGCATCGGTAAACTTGGATTGTTGTTCCAGTAAGGAAATGTACACAATAGCCGCTGCAAAACATAAAATATGCACCATCATTAAAGAGGGGGAAAATTCCAACAAGGAGCAAAAAGACAAGATCACATTAAAGATAACATATAGACCAAAGAGTAATGTTACCTTCCGGTTCATGCAAACTGTGCGTCGCAATATGCTTTTTAAGCAAACCTTCAGCCAAAGCTAGTAGCTTCTCTCCCCCATTGCCACAAAAAACCTTTCCAGATCAGAGACAGTAAACAAATATCAGCAGAAACATAAACTACCACTATCTACTTTAAGCAGGAAGGAAACACAAGCAAGAATTCAATAACAACTCGCTTAATCACAGAGATATCGGTGAATGAAGGAACTTTTCAAACTGGGGAACTTCTAGTTGTTACCATAATGTAACAGTATTGCATACAGTAAATTACAAGCGAAGGTATTCCACAAAAAGGTAGTCAGGCAGAAATCAGATATTTTATTGTTGATAAGATTCAGATAGAGCTCTCATTTATTTTCTACCCTAGGGCTAGGGTTTATTCTTCTTTCTCCGTCTTTGTAGTTCAGTTACCATCACAAAGGCATTCTAGAGTAGCTACCCCATGACGAATTATAATCCTCTTCTGGATATTGTGGGTGGCGGGAAGGAAGGGGGAGGGAGAGAGAGAGTGGTTGTTATATATTCTCTATGTGATAAACAAGTTCTCAGAAGTAGAACATTTCATATCAATTTGGAGTGCAACAGAAGAAGGAACAAATATAAGTTTCATTCTCTGCTTTATACATTATGTAGGAGTATATGCCATTTCTGAGTCCGAACAGAAATCAATATCACAGAAATGGAGGAATAAAAATTTTCCTTCAAACTAATGTAATTAATTCCTCAATGCAAGTGAAATTCAGGCTTTCTGAAGACAATAGAATAAATTGAGATTGGTTCTTAAAGTAGTCCCTATCACAATAAAAAATCAAGAAGAAAAATAATATGGCAGAACCTGCAACTGGATGCTGCAAACGGCCCAAAGCAAGAACCTTTCTTCACCAACAACCTTGTACATTTTGATAGCCATCTGTCAAGAAATTCAAATTTTAGAAATGAAAGGGAAGAAAAAACCATAATACGACAACTCATGTCACGGCAAAATGTATGCAGACATGGAAGAAATATCAACAGCAAAATAAAATAATAATAATAATAATAATAATAATAATAATAATAATAATAATAATAATAATAATAATAATAATAATAATAATACGCAATCCTATCAACCTGTTGCTGCTTCACAAATGAGTACTCACGAACGTAACAATTGAAAAGGCCCATCATCAATTCTAAATTGTTGGGAAATTTGCTACATGCATGTTCATAGCAACTGGTAGCCAATTCCACTGTCAACATGCAGATAAAAAGAGAAGTTCAGATGGCGCTTTCCGTGTGGTAAGCTAGGTTAACATTTAATGCAGAGAAATGAAAGGAGGTAAAAGAAAAGCACTAACAGTGATCAAGACGATTGAAAACAATTTGCAAGGTGCTCAGTGTAAGATCATCAACCAGAACGGATTCATTCGCGTATAATAGGTCTTTGGCGCTCATACAAATTGAAAGTGCTTCCTCTGCCTTACCCATCCTTTCCAGAATGAGAGCCTTAAGTGCCTGCACATTCAAAACAGACTCAGACGATCATTCATCACCAACAAAACTGAAGCAAAACAACTGAGAACATATTCATAACATAATGCCACTTTATCATTGAAGATAACAATAAACTGGCGATTGCTTTAACGAATTAATTGATTGCAAATAAATTACATCCTCAATTAAGGATGGCAAACTATCCAATAAATAAATAACTTTTAAGAAAAGGGAAAGAAAATAACTTACGAGAGCATAAGGAGAATTGGGATATTTGGAGAGTAGAGTAGTACAGTGCTTGAGGGCATTCTTGTACTGGCGAGAATCAATGGCGTCCCATACTGGACGAACCCGACGCTCCGGAATACCACCCGCCAACCCGAATTTCGACGCCATTATCCAATTAGCCCACAATTACGCCGAGAAGAAGTCCGCGAGCTACTTTGACTTCAGGATTTAGCGAGACAGTTCGACAAAAGAGACTGACAGTATCCTAATACTACGTCGTATCCGTCTCCGCCAGAGTAGTGCGGAGGAATATCAACCGCCAGACTGTCGAAAGTGCGGCTGAGAATCGGAAAAGGGAAAGAGGGGGTCAAACCTCAAAAAGAAACTTTCTTCGAGGTGGTGGTGGCGGCGGCGGCGAAGGAAGTACAAAGTGCAGTTGCAGTGACGGTGGTTGGATTTGGGGGTAAGAAGAAGAAGACGAGTAAACCGTGGGCCGGGCTGAGTTAAAAGGTGGATCAAAACATTTCCTAAATTCTAAAGGGTTTCAGTTGGCGCGGGGGAAGGGTCCAGTCTGAGATTCACACTTCATTTGTAGTAAAAACTATGGGTACACTTTTTAACACTAAAGCAGTTAATGTGAAATGTAAACGTAATTAAAATTAGTTATTATTTTGCAGTATTCACTTAAAAAAAACAATGCAATAAACTCATCCTTTCCCCACAAAAACAATGCAAGATTTTCTTTTCTTTTTAGATATTGGACTTGGAACATCAAGTTCTTTAAGATTGTGATAATAAAACTTTGTTTATTTGTCAATTATTTATGATATCTTAATACGTTTACATAATAAAGATTAGAGTCATTTGATGGTTTATATAAAAATATGAAAAGGAAAAAAAAATATAAATTTTCAAGAACGATTATTTAATTTCATAACTTATCCTTTTTGGAGACAAATATAATTGATAAATGTACAAATAAGGAATTCTTTTTTCTTTCTTCAGTTCAGACAGAATTAGATCTTGTTTGTCCAACACTTAGTTTTACCTTTTGTCTCATTTTACCTCTTAAAATAACTCTCAAACACAAATTCCAATACTATCCAAATAATTTTTTAATTTACCTTTTAAAAAATTTTCCAAAAATTAATTTTACACAATTTTTGTTTACCACTATCTGACCACCTCCATCACCACCCGCCACCGCCGGACCACCTATTGTTGCCGCCAGACCGCCGTCGGCCGGCGACCGGCCGATCGAATTCCGGCGAGTTGGCCAGAATTTGGCCGGCCGACGGCAGTTCGCAACGGCATCGGTTGTGGAGGTGGTCCGGTGATGGTCTAAAAATATTAATATTTTATTTAAAATATTGTCCAAACAATTTTTTAAATTTTATCTCAAACCACATTTTAAATCACATCTCAAATCCAAATCAAAAATTAAAACAAAATATTGGCCAAACAAGCCTCAATCTTAGCTCATAATCTTTACTTATTTGGATTCTTCCACAAGTGGTTTTCCTTTCAATTGGAACTTGGAAGGGGGAAAAAAATAACAGGTACTAACTATATAAACTACCATTCCAAATTTCCAACTCGTTTGTCTTTTGACTTTAAAACTGAGAAAAATAAAAATAAAATAAAATAGATCTCTCATCAAAGGAAAAATATTCCTTTCAATTTTCTTTCACAATAATATCTCCTTCCTTTGCCCTTTCGCTCGGTTTTGGATTTTTATATTTTTCCCTTGCAGTTGAGTTCAGCGAAGAACATCTTCATCAAATTTTGTCTTCCAGCCCACCTCCGATAAATTAATTACCTCTTAGTTGCGATTACTTCATCTAGTCTTTACACTGTAATTGATTTGTACTCTACTTAATGAACTGAACCCCACCAATCCATCGTCTTCAGCAGCACAAAGAAAGCTACCAGTCTTCTTCAATCCGTACAATCTCCCATATTGCGTAATTGCATGAACTGATTCCTTCTTCATCGAAATCGGTGATTGAGGAAAACAGTTGGGCAGATTCGTTGGATAAAAATGATGGGCTCTGAGAATAATGAAGAAGCCCATCTCCAGGCTCCGAGAGAAGGCGGTATGGAAAGCGTCGCCCTTGACGACGGCGGCGATGCCAACGGCGGCGGGGACTGTAACGGCGGTGGTTTGACTTCTAATTACAGAAGTGCCATGCCCACTCTCTCCTCCTCCTTCTCCTCATCCTCCTTGCACCATCCTCTCTCCGTCCCTACTCCCGCCGACTCCGATCCCCTTCTCGCCCCACCGTCGCCCTCGGTGAAATCTCCCAATTCGATCAAAATTGCAAATAACCACCATGAAAAGAACTCTTATCTTGATCATCCTTCTTATGCCGACGTCATTTTCAGCCCCCTTGACGAACCCACCAGTCCAATTGATTCCAATGGAGGAAGTCCGGATGGGGATTCCAATAAGTTTACATTTTCATCAAGATCTCAATCTGACAGCTCGGAGTACTTGGAAATTGTGGTTTCCCATCCGCAGAAAGAGGCCCAGGCATCGGCTTCGATTGTGCCCGGTAATAATACCTATGTCACTTATCTAATTACGACTAAAACGAACCTTGCGGATTACGGAGGATCTGAATTTAGTGTTAGGAGGAGGTTTAAGGATGTTGTAACATTGTCTGATCGGTTGACTGAAGCTTATAGAGGGTTTTTCATTCCTCCGAGGCCGGACAAGAGCATAGTGGAAAGTCAAGTGATGCATAAACAGGAATTCGTGGAGCAGAGGAGAGTGGCATTGGAGAAGTACTTGAGAAGGTTGGCGGGTCATCCTGTTCTCAAAAAGAGTGATGAGCTTAGGGTGTTCTTGCAGGTGCAGGGAAAGCTTCCCTTGCCTACTAGTGTCGATGTGACCTCCAGAATGCTGGATGGGGCCGCTAAGCTGCCAAAGCAGTTATTTGGGGATTCAACAAGTGTGATGGGTCCTCAAGATGTTGTGCAGCCAGCTAAAGGTGGGAGGGATTTGTTGAGATTGTTTAAGGAGTTGAAACAATCTGTGGCAAATGATTGGGTTGGGTCTAGGCCCCCGGCGGAAGAGGAGGATAAGGAGTTTCTTGAGAAGAAATTGTGGTTGAATGGTCTTGAGCAGCATCTCAGTAATGCATCAAAACAGGTATCTTTTTTTTCTCTCTTTCAGCTTTGGAATTTTGATCAGGAAGTTCTGTAATCACACAACATTGGCATATTGATAGAGATCAGAAACCACAAAACTCTCTGTTTGGTGTGGCATTTTGTTGTTCCAAGTACCGTTGCCCTGTCAATAGATCTTTGTCTGTAATCAATATTAACTGTAACATCAGTACTAAGCCTCTTAATTACTCATGTAATCTGACAGTTAGAAGATATTTAGTAGCTTGTGGAGTGAGGGACTTTTTGGCATTGAAGGACCCCAAGCATGTAGGTCATCTTCAATGTGCTTATGAAACCAAATGTAAATTAAGGAGCTAGAAGAATGGTTCTTTTGACCTACCATGAGCAACCAATTAAGGTTTATGCAAAATTAGCTGCATCAGCTAGCAAGTGAGATTATTACAAAATACTCCTGGCATAGAGGACTGGAATCCTCATCACTTCTAAAGATTTCACTCATCTCTAATCCAAATGTGGATTAGGCAGAATATGGAATCAGATTTGACCACTAATCCGACATGTGTATATGTTTCAGTCAAGCCGCAAGTTTCTCTGCCTAAATACGCCATTTTTTATTGTCACGAGTCTGATGGTGTTACAATCTTTTGATCAGCATTAAGCCATGAGTGATTTTGACTGTGCGTATTTATATTAGTTCGATCAATTGTTGCTGCCTTTCTATTTAGAATATTTATTTTGAAGTCGTGTTAGCGTAACAGTTACGTTGGTTTTTTACTTTATTCTTCTGAATTATTCATTTCCCATCATGCGTCAGGCTGAGTCCCTCGTTAAAGCACAACAAGATTTGGGTGAGACAATGGGTGAATTAGGCCTAGCACTTATAAAATTGACAAAATTTGAGAATGAGGAAGCTCTGTTAAATACTCAAAGGGTTCGTGCTGCTGATATGAAGAACCTGGCAACTACAGTTGTGAAAGCAAGCAGATACCATAGAGGGTTAAATGCACAGACTGTAAAGCATTTGGTAAATGCTGTACATTTTCCATTTGTTCTGGTTGTCATTCGAAGATTATCTAATGTTGCGGTGACATATGCAGGATACACTACATGAATATATGGGTCTAATGTGGGCTATGCACAATGCTTTCTCAGATCGTTCAAGTGCTTTGTTGACAGTTCAAACTCTTCTTTCGGAGCTATCTTCTTTGCGCTCAAGAGCTGAAAAACTGGAAACTGCATCTTCCAAAATATTCGGTGGTGACAAGTCACGAATTCGCAAATCAGAGGAACTGAAGGAAGCTATTAGAAACACCGAGGACGCGAAGTGCTGTGCTATCAGGGAATATGAACGCATCAAGGTATCTTTGCTTTCTTTGATTTAGTGGCCTATTTCTGTTATCATTTCCCTGTAAAACTCCTTTGATGCCATGAAGTCCGAATGGCTTTTTTACTTACCAGCATAAAGTTATCATAATATCAATGAGAAGGAATGTTTTTAACTCTTTGGTTTCTGTCTGTTCTGCTAACTTTGCTCTCCTAAAACAAAGGAAGGTTATTTTGTTTTCACCTTCTGCGCCTGCTCAAAGCATCAACTCCATTTAGGTTGAACAAAGTCCAGAATCCACTTTTGTAAATTTCTTCCTGAGTTGGAAATGGATTGTTCTGGGAGTGTGGGTTAGGCTCTAGGGAAGCTTTTTAGGTGTAAACTTGATGTATAGCATCTGATTATGTGATGAAAAACCCTTCGCATTTGTTTGAATGTAGTAAAGCAGTTAAGCAGTAGATTGAACAATTAGAATATGGAGAAACCTTTGAGATGTATGCATTTTACTCCCCTGGTATGCACTGGGATATCCAGTCTTGGGGTTAGGTTACCAAGAACGTTTTCTACGTCTGTTTACCCACGTTCTACATTTGCTTCTCTTCAACTTCTATAAAGATGGATATACATGGCTTTAAGGAAAAGTTTTCTTTCTTATCATTTCCTCTTTATAGAAATAGTAAATAGGAACAATGATGTACTGTTTTCCCTTGGTGGTATGTCTATTTTTAGTGACTGGGTGTGTTACTGCAGGAAAATAACAAGAGTGAAATTGAAAGGCTGGACAAAGAAAGGAAGACTGACTTTTTAGTTATGTTGAAAGGTTTTGTGAGTTGTCAGGTACGTCACCTCCCCCGTTATCTAATAGTTTTCTGCGTGGTCACCTCAAAGGTTTTAGTTTCTGTAGAAAAGTAGCATGATATCTCTTTATCTTAACTTTAGCTGGCACGATGAGGTGATTGAATTAAATAAGGCATATATCAATTTTACTTTTCCTGTATTATTGAGTAGTAGAGTCTTTTCCAGTTTCCTTCTTCCACATTAGATTATGAGTATTGGCCAAACCATTTTTCTTCCATATTAGGTCATGCCATATGATGAATGGTTAATAGATTATGAATATTGTCCAAACCATTTTTCTTCCATATTAGGTGATGCCATGTGATGACTGGTGAATGATGAATGGTTACTGATGGAGCACAATGCCAACATATTATCTATATAACCCTTCTTGTTGTATTATTAGACCATGCCATGTTCTGAATTTTTTTATCTTCAATCTCTTGAACCATTTCGCTTATTGGGAAGCATCCTTTAAATTGTATGCATTATAGTTAGCACTCTCAAATTCAAGTTGATATTAGGACTTGGAGATCTCGAATGTGACTGTAGTTTATTTATGGTATGAGCCAACTAAACAATGCACCAAAACGTAGAAGTCTTTTAAACTGCTGTTATGGTATGAGCCAACTAAACAATGCTCCAAAACATAGAAGTCTTTTATACTGCTGTTATTGTAAAATTCATGTGCTTTCCTAATACTTGGTTTTCCGCTTAACGTGACAGGTTACGTACATGGAGAAAATAGGAAATGAGTGGACAAAAGTTGCAGAAGAAACCATGAGATATTCAAAGGACACGGCATGATGAAGAAATTTATTTTTTGGCATCTCCGTCACCATTTTTCCCTACGCATTTCGGCTTTGTTATTGTTTCATTTCCATTAGGAAACAGAGTATACAGAGTAGTGTCTGCTAACTAGTACTTCATTTGAGTTCTTGAATGTTGAAAGTACATATGCAATGATACCTTCTGAACTTCTTCTTACAAATCGAAATGATTAAATTGTAAACGTAATAATTTTGCAGAGTACACTGGTTCCCCAAAAATTCTTAATATTTCCTGGAACAGTAATGGCCGGGTGAGGTTGTATTTAACATTCTTGGTTTGATATCACTTTCTGGGATTAGGATACTTTTCTAAGAATAATGTTAAGGTTTATACATTAAGGACACGGGTTTAAATTTTAAAAGAGTAAAATGTCCAAATGGTCCTTTATATTTGGGTTTACTTGAATTTACGTCCTGAACATTAATATTTCAATATCGTAGTTCCAAACATTATGATTTCACACTTTTTTGTGTCTCATTTCACTGTTTCGGCCACTTTTTCGTCAAACTCGATGTTGACCGTTGTTGACTTGCCTGAATCAAGGGCATTTTTGTCTTTTCACTTAATTTAAACTTTCATTAAAATTAAAATCATTAAAAATATTATAAAATTCAAATTTCATTATTTAATTATTGAAGTATTATTTATTAAATTTTTTATCCCAAACTGTCACGGTGTCGTCCCCCTAACCGAGAAAACCCGATGACCCAACGCTGCCCGTCCCGGAGCAAGCACACAGCACCACCCGACAACGGATTCCCGAGACAAGCAATTCAAAAAATATTATTTATTAATTTAAAATATTATTATAAAAATTTTAAAATTTACATTATTTTTAAAATTAGTTTTTTCATTTACTATTTACCTTGAGTACAAAATAATAATTAATTACACTTTTAACCCTGGACTCACTGTAAATTAAATTATTTACCGAGTTACAGTTAATAATTCAAAATAAAAAAATTTTCAAAAAGAAAATAAATAAAAAAGCAAAACCAAGATTTTTGACATTGACTGCTACAGTAAACCTCAAGTTACTTTTTTGTTTACTGTAGCGGTAAAAGTAAAAAAAAAACTTGTGTTTTGCTTTTTTTTGAGAAAAAAATTGAATTTTGAATTATCAGCTGTAACTTGGTAATTATTTTAAGTTACAGTGGATGCAAGATTAAAAGTGCAACATAATTATAATTTACTTTCTACCTAAGATAAATGGTAAATGATTAGTAATTTTGAAAATAATATAAGTTTTAAAATTTTATATAATATTTTAAATTAATAATATAAGTTACAGTGGGTCACGGTTAAAAGTGTAACATAATTACTATTTACTTTGTACTAAAGGTAAATGGTAAATGAAAAAATAATTTTAAAAATAATTTTATAATAATATTTTGAATTAATTAAATAATGAAATTTGAATTTTTAATATTTTTAAAGATTTAAATTTTAATAGAAATTCAAATTAAGTGAAAAGACGAAAATACCTCTGATTCTGACAAGTCAACAGCCGGTCAACATCGAGCTTGACAGAAAAGTAGTTGAAACAGTGAAATGAGACTAAAAAAAGTGTGAAAACATAATGTATGAGTCTAAAATATTGAAATGTTAATGTTACGAACGTAAATTCAAGTAAGTCTAAATGTAAGGGACTATTTAGACATTTTACTCATTTTAAAATAAATAAATAAATTTCCTCATCTATTTCCTCTTTTACCAAATGGAATATGATTTCATACTTTCGAAAAAGTTGCAACTCTCAGCATTTGGAAATCGAACTGCAACCTATCTTTGTTTGGATAATAATAATGTTATTGGAGAATGTTTTATTAAAAATATAAAAGGTGTGGGGAAAAAGAAATATGTTAATTAAAATTCTTAAAAAAATTTATTGAATACTTTTCATTCTGGAAATATTTTTTTGATTTATAAATTGTAACCAAGATCATCGGTGCATCTAGCCGTCCTGAAAATATTTTTTTGAAAAAAACCATAAAATATAAAATACGTTGGAACGAAAAATTAAAAAGCATAGAAAAAATATAAATTACTTTTATTTATTTATTTAATTTTTTAATTTATACTATTACTAAGTCAAATATTTAAGTTAAATTTATTTATTTAACCACCAAATAGATAATAAATAAAGAAACGTAAATAAATAAATGAATTAAAAATTAATGAAATAAATAAATTAAATTTTTTTTAAAATAAAAAGTGAATTCGGTTTGGTAAACCCTAAACCCTAAATCTTAAACCCTAAACCGAGGGGGGTGGCGCTAGTTTGTGCGCCATCCCCCATTCCAGGGGGGGAGAACTTCTCGCCATCCTTAATTAGGGATTCCAAATCGAAACAGCCCCGGACCGAGTTAGTTCGATTATGAAAAATACTTTATTTATCCCAACAGAATAATCCATATTGACATTTGGAAAATTTGGAAAATTTTGAAGTGAAACTTCTTAAATTAAAAAAAAAGGCATATATGACTTTGCAAATTTTTTTTTTATTTAAGGCAATAAATTAGTTACTAAAATACAAATTTTTCATTATTGTGACATAATTACCCTTGTTACTCTTTTTTAAACAAATAAAACAACAACTGAAATCCTTCTCCTCATTTTCAAGGCTTGAGGGAAATATAGATTATCAATTGGATAAACTAAAATCATCTTGATTCATATCACCCTTGATTTTAAACATTAGTTTGTATCACAATGATTGTCATTAACATTTGAAACTTTCTCATTACTTTTTTTTTTGGTCAAGATAAAACTTATCATTACTATGCAAAAATGTACATCATTTCCTCCCAACTATTACATTAAAATTTAACGGAATGATACCAATACTGTTTAAGCATCTAATATCATCATTACTACGTCTTCTATAATGCACTTATACCTTCCAAACCGTATCAGTTTTAAGTTTATTGAATGTTTGAGCCACGTCAAGTTTCTAATTGCCAAACTTCCTGAGATTCCGTTCTGTCCATGAATGGTAAACTGCTGCATTTATACTACGAGCAAACAGCAACCATCTCCTCCTCACCTTCATGTATCTCTCATCCTTTGCCTTAATATGTGTCCACTCCTCCTCAGTTTATCAATTCTCATTTGCACCTTTCCTCACCAAGTAATAACACTGGAAAAACAATCCACATTTTCATATGGGCCACCACATAATCACATCTCATTTCCTCTCTCAACATATTCATTTTCTGCTTGAGTAAGTAATCTATTCTTCAAAATCAACCATACAATAAAACTGTGCTTGGGGAGACTATATGGGTTCCATAAAATCACTATCTCTATTTTTACTTTGTTGTCCCATCAGCCACTGATAGCTTGTTTTAGCAGTGTAATGATAAGTTGTCATTACTTAAACAACTTATCATTTTTTTAATCAAACAATTAACCAAACAACTTATTATCCAAGTACTAACCAACAATCATAAGGAGTATTTTCTATGTATAACAGTAGTAGTAGCCCCATCACAAAATTTTGGATGTCAATTATTTCAATGCGATTTGAAGGTAATGAGTACCCAGAATAAAAATCACATATAATTACTTCAAAAAATTATAGACAATTTTTTCTTACTTGCCTTAACATAATTTAAAGCCTCGGCGCCTCAAACTCATCACAGCCGTATTAGTGATGTATTTGTTGAAATATTTTTGAAAGAATGTTAAGCCGTCAGGAGCAAGTTGCAAGAGTTTTCTGTTTTTTCTTTTTTTTTTTTCTTTTTTTGTGTGGGCTAATTTCTTGATCTCGAGTGGTGGGGAAAGGATTTTGGAAGAGATAATAAGGGTAATTATCTTCAAACAAAAGTGTTTTTTATTTTATAATATTGTTAACTAATTTATTGCCCTTTTAGAAAAAATATTTTTAAGTCATACATCTTTTACTAAATTTATGAATAAGTAGTTCCATTGCCCTACAGCAAAATATTTCAAAAATTATGTACTAAAAATGGTACAAATTTGAAAACCTAATATGAACTTTCTTTTTTTTTTCTTTTGGAAAGAGGTAGTATATTATTTGGGCTTTTGAAAATAATAACTTAAAAAATATCGTCTGCTTATATATATATATATATATTATTGCACTAATTTAGGTCAACTTTGAAAAATAAAAAAGAGTATCGATTGTGGGGCAAGATTAACAAATTATGTGGAAATAACCAATCATTTTTATTTTTGGAAAATTAAAAAAAAAAAAACAAATTTCGGCCAAACATTGGTCGGATGAATAGGTTTTGGCCGGAATTGGTTAAATTGGATTAATAAGAAATGAACAAAAAATATTTAGGATAAATTATTTTTTAAAAAAATAATAAGGTTAACAAATTGAATTTAAAACAAAAATTAAATTTAGGACAAAAGAGTTTAGGCGCGCTAAGAATCAAGAACTATATGCTGAGACTGCTCACATTCCCAATTTCTTATAAGTACCTTTCATCTTCCAATTTCTTATATCCCAAAATTCAAAAATTTCCAATAGTAGTAGTTGTTGTTCGAAAAAAAATTTAATGGCCGAGGAAGCCAAATCAAAGGGCAACGCAGAAATCTGCATCACACTAATTGAACTCTGTATCATAACTATCTTCTTCATCCCTAAATTTTAGGAGGTGAGGATAGAAAACGTTTGGGTGGAAACTTGTCTTTATATTTATATAATAGTAATGAATATTAATGAAAATAATGATAGGGAAGATGAGAAGATTGAATAAGAAAAAACTTCCGTTTCATTAATATTGAAGTAACGAAAGAAGATGAAAAGAAACATGTTTTTTTTGTGTGCATTATGTAATATTAATGAATTTTTCATTAAAACTGAAATTTTTTAGAGTGAAAATAATGAAATAAGATGACAAAATAGTTCACATTTGTAAAAAAAATTACAAAAAAGTCAAGTGTGAGGTATTTATGTAATAGTAATGAAGGGTTGATAATAATAATGGGGAAGATGAAAGGATGAAATAAAACAAAACTGAAAATTTTAAATAGTGGAGTAATGAAAGAAGATGAAAAGAAATATGTTTTTAATACATTATACAATAGTAATAAAATTTTTAGAATGAAAATAATGAAAGAAGATGAAAACATAATTAACATGGGTGAAAAAATACTACAAAAAATTCAAGTGCAAAAAGTGACCAAACCCTTCTTTTATACATAGGTAGAAAAATATAAAAAATTATATATAAAAAGAGGCAAAGAAAAAGATGAGTTCGAAAAAATTGGACAGGTTGGTATGAAAAGAAGGACATTCAAAACTCAAAACTGAATGTGAATATTTTTGTGGGACGGAGGTAGTATCATTTACTTGGGAGAATTGGAAAAGTTT